TTTTTTTCTTAACTCAATATTTTCACATGACGTATCTATTTGGATTGCTTATTTCTACTTGAGTCACTTTTGTCATGTCTTTTTAGGAATTTGTCAATCTTATTTAATTTATCTAATTTATTATAATATATTCCTTTTTAAAAAATATTTATTTATTCTAGAGAGAGAGAGTGCACAGCATGTTGGGCAGGGGAGAGAGAGAGGGAGAGAGTCTTAAGCAGATTCCATGCTGAGCACAAGTCCCCATGCAGGGCTCAAACTCATGACCCTGAGATCACGATCTGAGCCAAAACCAAGAATCCAACACTTAACCTGCTGTGCCACCCAGGTACCCCTGTAATAATATTTCTTAATAAAATCTTTAGTGGTGTCTTCTCTTTCATTTCGGATTCTGGTAATTGAGTCTTCTCTCTTTATTCCCAGTCTCTTTAGAGATCTGCCAATTCTGTTGATTTTTTTTCAAAGAACCAGCTTTTGGTTTCATTTCATTTTCTCCATTGTTTTTCTATTCTCAATTTTATTAATTTACTCTCTAATCTTTAAATTTTCTTTTCTTCTGCTTCCTTAAGATACAGTCTGCTTTTCTTTCTCCATTGTTAAGGCGCAAGGTTAGCTTGTACTACATTGGGATCTTACTGTTGTCTAATGTAGGCATATATAGCTACAAGTTTTCTGCTAATTTAGCAGCATCTCATAGATTTTGGTATACTGTATCTTTGTTTTAATCTTTTCAGTATATTTTCTCATTTTCTTACTAATTTCTTTTTTGACCCATCAATTATCTAGGTTAATTTCCAGATATTTGTAAGCTCTTTAAATTTATTTCTGCTGTTGATGTATAATTTCATTCCATTGTGGTCGGAGAACACATTTTTCATGATTTCTATCTTTGAATTGATTGAGGTTTATCTTGTGGTTTAGTTTACTGTCTATCCTGAAGAATGTTTCATGTATACTTCAGAGGAACTTCTATTTGCTGTTGTTGGCAGGTGTGTTCTGTAGATGCCTGTTAGGGTAAGTTGGTTTATAGTATTGTTCTAACTCTATTTCTTTGTTGACCTTCTGCCCATTTTTCTATTCATATTGAAAGTGGAGTATTGTGGAATGCCTGGGTGGCTTAGTCATTTAAGCATCTGGCTCTTGATTTCTGCTCAGGTCATCGTCCCAGGGTTGTGAGATGGAGCCGTGTCAGGCTCCATGCTCAGGGTGGAGTCTGCTTGTCCCTCTCCCTCTGCTCTTCTCCCTCCCACCCCCACTCACTCTCCTCAAATATATAAATAAAATCTTAAAAAAAAAAATGAAGTCCCCAACTATTACATTGAAGTAGGTATTTTTTCCCTTCAATGTGTGTGTGTATTCATAACTGAATATTTTCCTCATGGACTGAACCTATCATCATTACAAAATCCCATCCTTATCTCTAGTAACATTTTTAAAGATTTTTTTGGTCTGATATTAATATAGCCAATCCTGTTTTCTTGAGGGTGCTGCTTGTATGTTATTTTTCCATACTTACTTTCAGTCTATTTGTGTTCTTCACAAGAGGCATTCAGTTTTGCCTCTTGTTATATGAAGGAGGGCAAAGTAAAGAGATAAAGCAAACTAGTCACTCTATCAGACCTTGCTTTATAGTCTTCTGTGTTGTTGCAGAACTCATAGTCTTATTTTGAATATCAGAAGCCTTAGGGAAGCTATACAAATTTAAAAAAATCACAAATATTTAAAATTACTATAGAGCAATACATCAAAGGTTTATGATTATAAACTCAGGTATAATGAAGTAGCTGTCTTCAGGTGTTAAGCATATTCAAAACGGTGATTTATCTACTTTCCTAATATATTTGTTTGTCTACCAGTTATGAATCTTAAGGAATCTTGGCCATTGTGTTAAAATTAGAAAACAATCTAGTACAGATCATTTTATATCTACAAACAAAAGTAGAAAACCATTTTCATATTGTATCATTATGTACCTATTATTTATAACTTGGCAAATTCTCCCAAAGTATTTGAAATCCAGGTATTACAGATTCTATTATATACTATCTAACTTATTTGAATCCTCTTGGGAAAGACAGAATAAATAGAAATGTCAATTTTAATATATATTTTATATGTACTTTTGTTATGAGGGAAAAGTTATATTGGTAGTTTGCTAGAAAGCTTAGCACATCATACATGTCATAAAATTGACTAATGAGTGAGCTCTAATTGTAGAGCTCTTCTTTTAGTATTTGAGGAGCTAAGTCCCCAAATTTCCAAATGGGAGCCCAAACCAAGGATGGGATAGGATGGGAATTATAAGGATAAAATTCTCACTTAGTTAACTGTATGTTGCATTCTAGAGTTAAGGTTATAATGAGGTTTTTAAGAGTGTGGGTTGTTTATTGCTAATAGATTTAAAAATTTTCTGCAGAGACCTTTAACATTTTTAAAAAGACAAGTAGATTTTTTGGGAAAAAAATGAAATGAACAATACAAAATATGGGTTACTATTATATGACTTAAGAATTTACCTCTAAAATAAATACTGTATAAAAATAAATAAATTAATTTTTTCTCTGTAAATATTACATAGTTCTTTAGTAATGTTTGATGTGGGGAACAAAGGCAAAAGAAAAAAATTAAATTTCCTTATTGCCTAGAGCCCACTGACATGTCCTTAAGATAGGCAGAGTGATTTCCTCTAAGAACTCAACTGTCTCAATGTTAATACTTTGCTAAGGGCAAAAGGCAATTTTACATTAATATTAACCCAACCTCCAGGATCCTTTAAGTCTCCTTTAACATAAAAAAATTCCTTTGAAAACTTCCTTTGTCTCTGCCCCCCAAGATACATGTTAGCAGTTATCCCCTAAGCATATGGTCCACCAATACATGAGACACTTTAGGGGTCTTATGACTAAGGTTTCACTAGACAGTAATAAATGACCATTTCCTAACAATAGCTATCCCCCTCAAGGTCCTAGAAACCTTGCCTCCAAAATTCGTTATAGGCCTTCACTATCCCTAACCCCCTCCCAACTTAAAAGTATATAATTGGTCACAACCTCAGTGCAGCTGTTTCTGCCCATGGGTCCTGTCACCATGCATTAATAAATCCACCTTTTTGCACCAAACACATCTCAAGAATTCTTTTTTGAACGTTTGCTCTAAACCCCAACATTTCTGCACACTGTTGTTGTTACGCTGTGATTGCCAGTACATTTACTACATCTTTAGCTTTGATTTAGAAAACAGTTATTCGAAGTGCAAAGTCAGAGGAAATGTGAGCACTACAGAAGCATTAAAGGAGAAATACTCTTCAGAATCAAGTTAGAGTTAGTGACTTTTTTCCCAAGACAAAATTCTTTCAGGAAAGAGATCAGTGAAAATGTTTCAATAATTCATGCAAACCTCACTAGGAATCTTTTTTTAAATATTTTCCTTGGTTTCTAACCAGGTACAATGTTGTGGTACTGATAGGATCTTAGAATTATTAAAATTAAACGAAATGAAGCATGTCTCCTGAGTTCTAGCCATACACATTTTATGAAATATTTATCTAATGTTGACAGTTTGATATCATCAAAGTCAATAGTATTTTTTGGATTATACTTTTCTGGGGATGTTGAAAACTTGTGGAGCAAGAGATAAAATGAGGAGAAACCTTTTGTATTCATTCCTAAATTTTTCTACTATGAAAATTTCTTTGGGAATGTCTTTTGTCTTGGAGAACAATACATTTTGTACAATTCAATTGCTATCTCTGCCAACAACAAAAAGCAAAAAAAAAAATTATAATAAGTTTTTATAAGCTACATTTATGAGATTGACTTATAAATTAATATCTCTAGTTTATTGGGCTCTTACTAAGTTAAGTGATTTTTATTTAAAAACACTTCTGTAACTTAAAATTATGTAATAAATTTTGAGAGTTTTTGTTCAGTTAGATAATTTTTTTCCCACAGTGAGGTACTTTAGTAATGATTGAATTTTTCTTTCACATTTCTATTTTATAGATATTATCTGTATTATAGTAGTTTCCTTCGACATACATAATAGCTAATATTTGGAGATTTTATACCTACTGTATCAATAAGAATCTCTAATATTCAAATAAGGACAGTTCTTTATGCTTCCTATCATTTGAGAGTATGGGAACTTCAAACAAGAGTTATAATTCTGGTTATATCTCTAGGATATATTTCTAGGATTACTGCCTCTGTTTCTCTCTTCTTGCTGGAAGAGGAGCTTTATGTTCTGCCTCTGTGGGTTTGACAGAAAAAGTATCCTCCAGGCCAAGTGCTAATCAGAAAATGGCTTCCCTAAAAAAAACCTACAGAGTCTCCCTTTCTTCAGGGTCTTTTCTTGTTTCTCCTTCAAAACTGTTCTCCTACACCCCTTTCCTTTTCCTGTGCCTGGTAATAAAAAGGGACTTCAATACTTTATATTACAAAAAAAGAAAAAGGAAAAAAACTGAAAACTATATTCTTTCCTGTATTCAAAAATGCAGGAAACTTCAGTAGGAGGGCATTTTGCTAAAATTAGGTTGGCCTTAAAAGCTTAATTTGTTGCCTTCCAGGACTTGGCAGAGATGGGATATGGGGGGCATATGGCTACTGGAGAGGGATGTGTGTCATGAAGGGTCAGTAATGGCATTCAGATCTGGAGGGCTGCTCTCAAGAGGCATCTTTGCAGGGTCTGTGACTTCAGATGATAAGAGTAAACAAATCCTAACTCAACAGTGAGTAGCAGTATTGCTTGTCCAAATTAAATGAAAATAAAGTTCTTGAAATTTAAGTACCTCAAAAATACATTCTATAGTTTATTGATTGGTTTATTGCATTTATGGAAAATGCAAGTCATCTTTGACTTACTAAGAGATCCTGACATTTCATATGGTCATTATGTGCAGTTGTAGGTTTTTGCTTAATTTGGGAGGAGAATCAGTTTTAACTGAGGAATAAACTGTGTTAATGAGGAAAACACATACATAAGACACTGTCTTTCCATCCTAGCTCAGGAGTGCTCTCCTGGGGGACACCGGTTTCTTCAGAGTCCTTACAGAAGTGTACATTTTGACTCAATGCACCTCCAGCATTCTCCCTCTCAAGACCTGATATGTGACCATTCTCTCTCTCCCGGATGGTATCGGTTTCTCATCTTTGACAGACCTGCTGAGATGCCAACCAAATGTGTTGAGGTATTTCAACTCACTAAGAACTACATGTTTGTTTTCTTATGTATTTTTTTGTATGAGCATTGAATCTTGTTAAAACCAATTTATTTCTCTCTCTGGAATATGATTTTACTTTTGTGTCAAGATTGAGTTAATACAAAGGAATATTGTGCCATGTTCCCTGTTGTAATAATAATAGTAATAGCTAATGTTACGCTCATGCAGTCCACCAAGGGTTTTTACCTACACTATCTTACGTAGTTTTTACAACCCTAGAATAAAGTCTGTTACCCTTATTTCCATCATAGAACACAGGACACACAGATTCTTAAGAGAAACACCCCTGCTAGAGTTATCCAAACAGCCACGTTTCGATCACAGGCCACCAGTCTCCAGGGTTCCTGTACTTACCTCTAAGTAACTTGCAAACAGTAAAATACTGTGTTGTCTAAGTGCTTCAAGTTCTTGTCAGTCTTAAATAGAAGGCTCCTTCTATGTGAGGGCTCTTCATTCTCCTTATTGTTACCTACATTTTGTGAATTATGCAGAAGCAGGAATTATTTTCCCTTTCAAACGTAATGTAAAAAAAACTCAGGGAAGATATCCAAATTTTAACAGTATTTAAGCTGTGACACTGTGGCCATCTTATTCTTTCCTTTTTGTTTATTTGCTTGTCACTTTTGTGACATTTTGTTTGTAATAAACTAGAAAAATCAGAATTTAGAAGTAAAATTTGAGGAAATTACAGGAAATTCATTACATCCTTAAATATTTGTGTTTTTTTTCCTTTGGCTGAACTAGTTATAATTGAATCTAGAACCTCACACAAATGTAAAAGTGAACTGATTTCACTGGGTCTGTGCCCCAGGGAGAAGTGATCTCTGCCCCCACTCTCTCATTCCCTACTTGATTCAAAGCTTTAGAGGAGCCACCTGGAGAATCCGTAGGACTTTTTTTTTTTCTTTTCTTTTCTTTTTTTTTTTTTTAACTCTAGAGGATAATACAAGTCTGTGTAAATAAAAATGTTTATTTATGATGATTAAAGTAATTCATGTACATTATAGAAAACTTAGAAAATGAAGGACTATTAATAGAATAACATTCATTCATCATATACCCACACAGTCATAGTACCATAAAAACATTTTGCTATCATTCCCTCTTTTTATATTGTTCTGTAAGGTTCATGCTACATGTCCAATTGCATAACATGCTTTTTTCAGGTAGTTATAGCATTAGCATTTTCCTATGCTATTGAAAATTCTTTAATATTAATTTTGAAAATAATATTCTGTCATATGCATATACTGTATTTATATAAACCATTGCATGTGTGAGCCTTTGGGCTCTTGCTATAATAAGTAATTCTGCAATTGGTAAACATGCATATAAATCACTTATATTTTAGTGTATTTATTAAGATTATTTTATAATTAAAATTAGTAAAGGTTAATGTCTTTTTGAAGTTTTTGATACATATAATTGTTTTTTTAAAATATGCTAATCTCGGGGCACCTGGGTGGCTCAGTGGGTTAAAGCCTCTGCCTTCGGCTCAGGTCATGATCTCAGGGTCCTGGAATCGAGCCCCACGTCGGGCTCTCTGCTCAGCAGGGATCCTGCTTCCCTTCCTTTCTCTCTGCCTACTTGTGATCTCTGTCTGTCAAATAAATAAATAAATAATCTTTAAAAAAATATGCTAATCTCTCATTTTAGGAGCAGTAGGTAAAAATACCTTTTTTAATACTGGATACTTTCATGTATTTATTAGACATCTGTATTTCTTTTGTGAATTATGTGTTTGTGTCTTTTACCCATCTATGATCTTACAGTTTTTAAGTGGATAATATTATATAATTAAAATAAAATAAGAAATATAATAATGTGACAATAAATAATACACTCAATATAATGTTATTAAATAGTTCTTATTTAATTCTGTTTTTTTTTTTAAGATTTTATTTATTTATTTGACAGACAGAAATCACAAGGAGGCAGAGGCAGGCGGGCGGCGGGCGGGGGGGGAAAGCAGGCTCCCTGCTGAGCAGAAAACCCAATGTGGGGCTCAATACCAGGACCCTGAGATCATGACCTGAGCCGAAGGTAGAGGCTTAACCCACTGAGCCACCCAGGCGCCCCCACTTCTTAACTCTTATTTGTCTTATATTTTTAAAATTATTATTTAAACATAACTATCAATCTTTTCCTTTATGGTTTCCGTTGTTTTTAAGTATAGAAATCATAATATTGAGTATTATAATCTGGATAACAATCTGAAAAAAAAAACTGAGTCATTGCTATGTAGAAATTATGTTATGTACATAATTATGTTTATACCTTACCATAGCACATACTACAATCCACCTAGAACAAAAAGGAAAGATGCTGAGTGTCTTGCCTGAGGTCATGCTTTTAGCAAGTGCCTGCGTGTGTCGTTCCTAAATCATATGTAGTTTATTTTTCCTGGGTTAGTTTCCTATTTAATTCCATTTTCCAACTGGAAATGATTTTGATAATTGGCTTTAAGGGAGACTTTTCTTTCAAATTGCCAACCAATTGTTTCATCACTGGATTTGAACAGTCCTTTCCTTTTCCCCTCATTTTTGATGCCTCCTGAACTATACATTAACTTCTTTTTTTTTTTTTTAAGATTTTACTTATTTATTTGACAGACAGAGGTCACAAGTAGGCAGAGAGGCAGGCAGAGAGGAAAAGGGGAAAGGAGGCTCCCTGCTGAGCACAGAGCCTGATTGGGGGGTGGGGGTACTTAATCCCAGGACCCTGAGATCATGACCTGATCTGAAGGCAGAGGCTTAACCCCCTGAGCCACCCAGGCACCCCACATTAACTTCTTTTTAAAAAATTATTTATATAAGTTCAATTTAGTTAACATATACTGTATTATTAGTTTCAAGCGTAGAATTTAGTGATTCATCATTTCCATATAACTCTCAGTGCTCATTATATCAAGTGGCCTTCTTAATGCCCATTACCCAATTACCCTATACTCCTCACCCCTCCAGTAATCTTACACATACTACATCCAGTAATTTTAGAATAAATTTCCAAGGTGAATTTATCTTTTTGCTCAATATTAAGATGACTTCAGATTCTCTTGTCTTAGAATGTATCACTATGGTGGTAAGTTATCTGATATTGAATTTGTCTTATTTACATTACAAAGGTAATATAGAATAAATTTAAATGGAATAAGATTATATTAGTTATGAACACTTAACCTTAAATTTAGTATTCTTTAAATTTAGTAACTATATAAATTTCCTCTTACAGTACAGGTACAAGTTATTAGAGTTTTTAAATAATAGTTTATTATTTTAAAGGTTGTTTTGAAGAAAATGCAAAGTTGACTTATGTGTGAAAATAAATTGGATTTTCAACTTTTGTTTTCTCTGTTGCAAAAGGTGAATCACTGTGGAACACAGGCCCCCATCTGGCTATCTCTGAGAGATTCAGAGACACTGCCTTCACCTGGAGAGATCAAGCAACTGACAGCTTGTGCCACGTGGCAGTTTTCATTTAGTGCTACAAAAGACTGCTGCTTTTTTCAAATCCCAGTGTCTGTAAGAAACTGTGGAAACTTTTTTGTGTACTTACTACAGCCCACTCAGGGATGTATGGGATATTGTGCACAAGGTAAGAAAGTATGAGTGATATCCATGGGCTGTTAATCACGGAACTGTTTGTGTTGGTGTTTTGGGGCCATTCTTTGGATGGGTTGTGTTGAAATAATACAGATCTCAGGAAGAGTCTCGGTCTGCCACTGTTTGTAGGGTGAAGCTAAATTTCTGGTTTAAATTAGCCAAACCTATTTAGGATTCTTTCCTCCCTTTGAACATGATGATTGAATGTGTTAAAAATTCATTGGTTTCCTCATGTCCCTTTACTTTTTCAATTAAGAGATGAAGAATGGTGAGTAAAAGAGATCATGAAAATATGTTTGATATTATTTCATCTTTCATTCATTAATATGGATTGAATGTTTATCCTTTGCCAGGAATTATTTTAGGACCTAGGGTTATGGTAATGAACAAGACAAATGGGTTATCTTACCTCATGCAACTCATATTCTAGTGGAGTGCCTCAGACAACATACATAAATGAACTGAATATGACCCAAAGAATAAAATAAATATCCATGAGTCCCTACTATATCAAGGCATGATTAGAGAAATAAATTGGTGGAGGAAAGGAGATAAAGCTTTCTTAAGGACAAATGCAAATGTGTGTAGCTACTATCCTACCTATAAGGTGGAGTCTAATTCCTTTTGTTTTGGTTGTGGGCTGTACTTAGTGACTTCCTTCCAAATAATAGTATATAGGAAGGAAAATACAGTGATTTCATAGTGGAGAAATCTAGTAGACACTTTATTAATCAAGTCACCAAGGTTAATATCACTAGTGATAATGTATGTTGATATTGGGCTCCTACTAATAATATGCAATAAGATGCTCTTCTCTTTTGTGGTGTTTTTCCCTAAAAGCCATTACCCTGGTATAATCATGAGAAAATTCATGTAAGTCCAAAGTCAGAAGCATTCTACAAAATACCTGAACAATACTTTTCCAAAGTGTCAAAATCATGAAAAGCCATGAAAGAGTGCAAAAACTGTCACAGATTAGAAAGGACTAAGGAAACATGAAGAATAATGCAATATGATGATAGCCTGGATTTAATACCAAAACAGAAAAGAAAACTGGAAAACTAGTAAAATCCAAATGGAGTTTTCAGTTTATTTAAGAATAGATTCCTAAGGTTAGTTTCTGAGTTTTAATAAATGTATCATGGTTTCATAATATGTGAACATTAGTGGAAGGGGTATTATTACAGGTAAAGATCCATATTATTTTCATAATTTTTATGTGAGTCTAAAATTAACTTTAAATAAAATGTTTTATCACAACCCAAAAATAAAACAAAAAATAAAATTAGTTTTGAAAGCAGTATGTGTATAAATTAGAGAAAATAGCAATTGACTGGCACAGGGTTGCTGTCTTACAAGAATGCCTAAAGAAGGTTTCTCTCAATAGATGATGAACTTGAGCTGAGCTCTGAATGAGTGGAATAAGTCAGCCATGGAAATATACGGGGAAAGAGCATTCTGTGTAGGAAAAACAACAAATGCCAGTGTCCTAGGATAGACATGAAGATGGCCGTTTAAGGAACTGAAGGAGGAACAACGTGGCAGGACGACTGAGTAGATGAGACTTTAGAGATGAAGTCAGAAAAGTAGGAAGGGGACAGAATCTGTAGGAATTTGTAGGGTCTGTAGACCATGGTAGGAACTTAGATTTAGTCATAACTGCAGTATAAAACCTTATGGGATTTAAAGTAGGCAGATGTGGTCTAAGGATTGTATTTAAAGGGCCACTATTCCTGCAGTAAGACTCCGTTTAAGAAGCTTTGGAAAGATGGTGGTCGCTCTAAGGTTGCAGGGGGGGAAGGAAATGGTTTATACTATGTGACAGAGGGAAGAGGTTATTGAGTTGAGATGTCGTTTGGAAGTAGAGCTCATACACTGGGTATGGGAGAAGATGGACAGAAAGGAACTAAGGACAAAGCCTAGGTTATCTTCTTGGGCAATGGAAATGGGAAAGTAAGACATCCTTTGGGAGAGAAATGGAAAGTTGCACTTTAGTCTGTTCTGTAAGAGGGAACATGAGATATAGAGACATAAAATGTACACCAGGTTCATGAGCCTGCCACTGATATGGTATTGACTAAGGATACTGGGGAATAGGGGCGCTTGTGGGGTAGCTCTCATAATACACCATCATGGAGCTCACAATAGATAATTGAACTTACTGAGTTTTTGTTTGTTTGTTTCATTCTCTCTATACCCAATTATGACTGTGAACATTTTGAAGACCATGTACCCTTTACATCAGGGTCTCAAAACCTTGTGTCCTTAACAAAGTAAGGATTCAACAAATGGATGTTTAATAGAAGTTGTTTGTTTTTTTCTTTTAAGATTTCATCCACTCATTTGTGAGAGATGGGGAGAGAGAGAGAATGAACAGTGAGGAGGAGCAGAGGGAGAGAGAAAGAGAAGCAGACTCCCTGCTTAACCGAAAGCTCCATTCAAGGCTCGATCCCAGGACCCTGAGATTGTGACCCAAGCCGAAGGCAGATGCTCAAATAACTGAACCACCCAGGTGCCCTTAGAAGTGTTTTATAGAACTAGTGACCCAACTCCTCAGATAGGAGGAGCTCAAAATAGAAACTACATAATCGTGATTTTTTTTTTTTTTTTTTACTTGGGCTGCGTAGATAAGAATGGAACCAACAATTGAGGGATTTATTCTTGGGGTAGAGGGAGTGTGCTGATAGGTGACCAGATTATGGGAGGAAACCAACTTCCCCTTATGTTATCTGGACTCCTTCATATGTAGTCGATTGAAAATGCTGGGAGATACTGTTGTAGATCAGCCATCTTAAACTAGGCAAACACTGGATTCAGCAAACAATAAAAATTGTATGAGTAACACCTACGAATATTTTCCTCCTGAGGTCCTTAGACTCTCCAGATTAAAATAAAAATAAACAAATATAAACGAATAACAGATCGGGCAAAACAATGGCAAAGAGTATATATGTGGAACCACAAATTGCAATGAATGATGTGAATGAGAAGATTAAAAGTTGCTGTAGCTAAGAACACCAGAGGGGAGGGAGGGTGAAATTTATGAGATGCTGAGAAAGCCTCTACTGAGAGCAGGGCATTGACATTGAGAGTTTGAGGGTAGATAGTCCTGGGGCAGATAGAGAGTGTGGGGAAGAACCTCCCAGAGAGCAAGGGCAGCACGTGAACAGCCTTGAGGCAATGAGTGTGGTGCTGCTCTCACGAGCAAAGCAGCACAGAGATGTTGGATCGCAGAGAGTGAGGGAGAGCCTAACAAGACATGGATTTGGGAAGGCAGCAATGCCTGATCCTTAGGGAGCTCTTCATTTTATTCTCTGTGCTATGAGAGGTCTTAGGAGAATTATCCTGAGAGCATGAGCCAGTAAATCTTCATGTTTCTTACACAGCTGCTGGCCAGCTAAACCTGGCGGAAAGCAGTACGTTCACTGAGGAAGGACAGCATCTGCTCAGCTAATAGAGCTAGTGTTATTCATTGGGAAGGGGAAAATCCAGATAGATGCATCCATTTCATTGAGTGGCCAAGTTGAGGGATTTTGAAAAATGTCTTTTAAGTGTTTTTCAATATTTGTGTCATTAAAAAGTTAATTTTGTATAAAATTTCAAATAATATTGCCAAGTATTTGTGGAAAATTGTGTAGGTGTTTCAATGGAAAAAAAAACAATAATATGCCTACATTATTTTAAGAAATATTGATTACTGTTAAAAATGAAAACAAAACTTTCATACCAGAGAATATCATAAAATAAAAACAACCAAGTCATCAGAAATACTGTTTACATTGAATTTATAAACAAAATACATGAAATTTGCTTTTTTATGGCATACCCTTAAAACTTAAAAAAAATTCCTGTAGATGCCATTTCCACCCATTCAGTTTCTCAAGCTTGAATATTCGAGAATTACTTCTCTTATTCTCCATATTCAAGTCCTGCTACTGGTTTTAATTAAGGAGAATTTTGGGGAGAAGATTGTTATTTTTTACTCTTTGTGTGTAAGTTATTAATCAGATGAACACATGAATTATCCTCTCTGATGTGCCAATTAAAAAAAAGCTTACCTTAAAATACTATTTAGACTGGAATTAGACTTCATGGATAGCAAACAAAAATGAGTCACTTAATCTGCGTTGTGTCTCTTTTTCTTGCTTACCAAGAATCTGTAGCAAATGTTCCCAGTTGGTGGTTTGGCCATGTTACAATGTCAGGCTGAGGACTCTGTGAGTCTCTAGGCTTTTGCTTTTCCTTCACAGTGAGGGGATGAAGGTCCAGTTTAAGCCCTTTATGTGCATTTTAGACAAGATGAAATGGGAACCCCTAAGGGTGGAAAGAGGGCATGTGCTAACTGAAACACTTCCCTTGAAGGAGTTGATTCAGAAGAAGTCTTATGACAGCTACTTTAGAAGAATTCTTTGGCTTATCTCTGTTTTCAAGAGGCAGTCTGTGAAATGTACTTTTTTACTTGGACAAACTTCTGCTCCCAGCTAATGGGCAATTGGATAGGCAACAATCAGTCAGTCATATTTAGCTTAAAAAATCATGAAAACAGCAAAAATTAAAGAAAAATGTTTCACTTTAATAATATATTCTCATGACTGTGTTTTGTTTTTTAGAATTTGTATATAAATTTCACACAGTTTATCTGCACTTTCTAGAAGCCAAATAAGAAGGTTAATTCAAGATTATACTTATCAATACCATTCAAACAAAAAGACTTATATATAATTATTAAGAATTCATTGGGGGATGCCTTGGTGATTCAATCAGTTAAGCATCTGCCTTTGGCTCTGGTCATGATCCCAGGGTCCTGCTCAACAGGGAGTCTCCTTCTCCCTCTGCCTGCCACTACCCCTGCTTGTGCTCTTTCTCTCTCTGACAAATAAATAAATAAAATTAAAAAGAAATATATAAGGTCTAAACACCCCAATTGAAAGTCAGAAATTTTCAGATTGGATAACAAAAGCAACAACCAACTACAGGTTCCCCAGAAGAACCCATTTTAAATATAAAGAAAGATGAGATTGAAGATGTAAGGATAGAAAGAGATATACTTAAGTACCACAAATCACAAGAAATCTAGAGTAGTAATATTAATATTAGACAAAGTAAATGATTGAGCAAAGGATATTACCTAGAAAAACAAGGGTCATTTCCTAAAGATAAAAGGGTCAATTGAACAATAAGACAAAAGAATTCTAAAGATTTGTGTATCTAATAATGGAATTCAAACTACATGAAGCAAAACTTACAGAACTTCAACAAGAAATAGACAAATCTATGGTTCATGTTGGAAATTAGCACCCATCAGTTGATAATTGAGCACATAGAAACAAAAACAAAAAAGTGGAGGAGACTAGAAAACTCTATCAACCAACTTCATCTAAATGACATTTAGAGAAGATTCCACAAATGATTGAGTAGCCCACATTCTTTACAAGTGCACAGGAAGCATTATCAAGATAGATTACATTCTAGACCCTAAGTAAGGAAATTAGAATATTAGAAAAAGTGATGTTAGTAAAAAAAAAAAAAAAAAAAACCACTAAATATACAGTGAAAACAAAGTTTACAAATAAAAAAAACCTCAGCTTATAGTTAAGATTATTTGTTTATTTTAGAGAGAGAGAGTGAGAGAGGGAACACAAGCTGGGGGAGTGGGAGAGGGCTTCCTGCAGAGTGGGGAGCCCCACGTGGGGCTCGATCCCAGGACCCTGGGATCATGACTTTAGCCAAAAGCAGATACTTAACAACTGAGCCACCCAGGCAACAATCAGTTCATAGTTAAGAAATTAGAAGTAGCAGCGCAAATGATACCCAAAGTAAGCAGGAAAGAAATAATGACCAGAGTGAAAATCAATGAAATAATACACAAAACAAAAAACTTAAGATAATCAAAAGCTAGTTCTTTGATAAATTCAATAAAATTAATAATTCTCTAGCCAATTCAATCAGTACAAAACGATAAGACAGAAATTTCCAATATCAGGATAACAGAGCTAATACAAGTACAGACTCTATGAATATTAAAAGAATAAAGAAGAATTACGAATAACTCCCAGTACATTTGACAACTTAAATGAAGTAGACAAGTTTCTTGAAATGCACAGATAACAAGAGCTCACTCAAAAAAGATAATTTCAATGGCCCTATATTTATTAAACAAATTATATTTCTGGTTAAAATCTATCCCATAGGCAAAACAAACAAATGAAAAACCCTGGCCCAGATGGTTTGGGAATTCTTCCTAATAATAAAGGAGGAAATAATGCTAATTTTACACAACTTTTCCAGAAAAATGAGTAGTAGAAACTACAAGACTCCCCAAGTCCCACATTACTCTGACACTAAGAGCAGACACACATGACAAGAAAACTGTGAAACAATATCACTCGTGAATATAAATACAGATGATATCATCTATTTAGAAAACATCCAGTGGAATCTACAAAAAACTACTGGAGCTAGCAAACAGAGATACTGACTAAAAAGATCAACATATAAAAGTTATATTTAATTCTTTATATACCAGCAAAAATTTCGTCTAAAAATACCAATTATAGTACTAAGTATATGGAATACTTAGGAATAAATATGGAGAAAGATGTATAAGACCTATTAAGTAAGAACAGTAAAACTTTGCTAAGAGAAATTGGGAAACTTAAAATAATGGAGAGATAAACCATGTTTATGGAACAATGATTCGATGTTAAGAAATCAGTTCTCGGGGCGCCTGGGTGGCTCAGTGGGTTAAAGCCTCTGCCTTCGGCTTAGGTCATGATCTCAGGGTCCTGGGATCAAGCCCCGAATCGGGCTCTGCTCAGCGGGGAGCCTGCTTCCTCCTCTCTCTCTTATGGTCTATCTTATGATCTCTTCCTGTCAAATAAATAAATAAAATTAAAAAAAATCAATTCTCCCTGGAATAATTTATAGCTCTAAAACAATCCTGATCAATATCTCAGTAAGTTTTTTTGTGGACATTGAAAAATTAATCCTAAAATTTTTAAAGAAATACAAGATATCAATATCCACAACTTTAGTGATAAGGAAAAGATTTGGACAATTTATGCTAACTTTTAGACATATTCTAAAGTTACAGTAATCTACAGAGTATTGCATCAAGATAGACAAATAGATGGGTGGAAAAGTATAGAGTCTAGAAATAAATCAACACACATAGTTAACTGATTTCAACACAGGAACACAGTCAGTTCTTAAGGACAAGTTTCAACAAATTGGGTTTCCATATACAAATAAAATGATCAAAATGCAAATAAAAAATAACTCACAATGAATATTAGTTTGAGTTGCAAGTAACAGAAAACAAGTAAAAAGAATGTTTAAAAATGATGGACTGTAACAATTTTAGGATCTGTCATTGAATCCAAGAAAGAGTTAATAAATAAGAAGTCCTCAGAAGGTATGGGCAATAGAGCAGCTCCCATGATGTTGGCAGTAAGAGTCTGTAGACATTCCTGTAGAGCTTCATCAGTGACTTGACCCAGTTTTCAACTCCTGTCTGTAGGTTCAAATTCTAAATTTTTCCAAGAAGCAATATGATGAGCCTATCTTTGTTCAGGTAGTTACCCTTATCCCAATGAACTGAGTTTGGCATTGAGAATTATTATACAGTTATAGTTATAGTTATTACCATGATAGCTGCTGACTCATTTCTGTAATCCTGCACATGGTTAGAGGGGAGGCAAGTTACATGGAAGCGGTTCAAACCAACTCTCATATAAATTTATGGAAATTGTAGTTTTGTTATTTAATAATGTAGACTAAAATTTAGAAAACAAGATATGAAAGCTGCGGTTGTTTTAAAATATGATTATAAATTATCTCCATTTAATCTCATCTTGAAAAGGGAAAAAATTATTATTAAAAAAGAACTATTAAGTCTAGGTCTATATTAAAACATACTTCTCCAAAGAATTGTCATTTCAGATATTTATGTATTTATATCTTTACGCTCAACTGAATAAGGATACAAATCTGAACCTTTTTCAGCTATTTCTGATGCAGAATTATACCCATGTCATCCTGATGAAATTGAAATAGGAGGTGTCTGTGTTCCTAAGTACCATATTTTATTTTTTAATAATTATTTATAAACTAATAATTTCAATGGGTTTTTATATACTGTAACTTACTTTAGATGTTAATTATACTATTTGAGAGAGAGAGCTAGTGAGAGAGAGAGAGCACACACCAGAGCACGGGTGAGGGATAGAGGGAGACAGGGAAGCAGACTCCCTGCTAAGCAAGGAGCCCAGTGTGGGACTCCATCCCAGGACCCTAGGATCATGACCTGAACGGAAGGCAGATGCTTAACTGACTGAGCCACCCAGGTACCTGAAATCAAAACACATTAGATCCCCAAATTTAATTTTGCAAATGACCAGAGATAGAAACTGCAAAGTCTTCCTAAATTTCTAGAGAAAACTTCAAACATTTTTAACATCAGAAAAAATGAAAAGACTAAGACTATTTTTTAACACTTGATATATTTCACTGAACAGTATAAATCACTCTTGTGATGAGCAGCTCTTTCAATCCACAGTAATGATAAGTTGAGTTGTAAGAGTAAATGATAAGAGTAAAACAGTGAGTCATTTAAATTTACATTATAATGACTGTTTTTTAAGTGAGAAATTATAATGTAAAAGACCTTAATTTTATTGTTTGCTCTGTCTTAGAAAAGGAAATCTTTCAGAAATTGCTTTAAAGGAGGTAAATTACTTTTATGTCCAAGAGCTAGACTCTTCAAGAGTAGACACATCCAACATGCATTAATATAAACTTGAGCTGATAATTTCTCTGCTGTCAGTATTTCTGTGATTATGGATCAAAATAAGAACATGCAACTTTGCTGATTGCTAGAGAATAATTATTTCTCTAAGTGCTATCTTCCTTTTCCTAATATAAATCCCTGAATTAGTCTCTGTGAGTTTTCCCCATCACCAAGTCTCTGTTCTTTAAGATTCCCGACTTCAGATGATGCATTTTCTCCCATCAGGTCAGCTGTCTGCCTCATTGCCACCACCACCCCCAGAAAGGCCCAAAGTTGTGGTGGAGCTGATTGGATCCAGGCTTTTCTGTAGGTGTGCTTTTGAGGTTTCCTCTGCAAACACCTCAGTGGGATTTCTCATAACTTGGTCTAGGCTTTCTTCTCAAGAAGTGAAAGAAGAGCTGAAGCAAGAGACCACAGTTCAGGCATCCTCTCTTTTAGAACTGGATGGCATAAATCTCAGGCTCGGAGATAGGGTATGTTCACAAACAATTGGATTTTCTTTTCTTTTCATGATGTGTTAATTTTCAAAATGGATTCTTTTTAATATAACATATCCTAAACATACTTTTGGCCTCAGAATATAAAGTACTATTGTTTTTCTTTTTCTTTTTTTTCTTTGCAATCGTGCCAACTCCAGTGATAATTGGATGAGTCAATAATTTTAGTGACTACATGTGAAGATCCACTGTTGCGGTTGGCTGGATTATCAAGGAACCGATATAACTGCATATCTCATTCTGGTTTTAAAATGATACGTTTTTATTCTAGAAAGATGTTTTCATTTTTTTAATGATGCTATCACTTACTATCTACTTTTAAATATATCTTAAAACACAAAGTCTACAACACTTTATGTTGAGGTTTTGAATAGCTAGTATTTTTAAATGATGGACTTTTTCCCAGTTTTCAAGCAAGTTTTAAAATTATTTCATTTCTTATTATCTTGTTTGCACTATCTACCCAAAGTACTTAATTATAATAGTTTACGCGTATTTTCTCCATAATTTTATTGCTAAATGATTATTTGTTAATTGTATTCGTAGATATTCTGTAGTGCTTCCGTCTTTTTATTGGAGAAACCACATGTACAAAGTTTAGCCATCGAAAGCCAAGAATTTTTTGCAGGCATTAAGGTATGTAGCCATGGGGGTGGATCAGAAAGATTACTTCTCTATCACTGTGTTTTCCATACTGCGATCTGTGGATGCTGGTTCTAGGACCTCATCACCGACTATTGAGATCCCAGAGTCTGTATTTTTGAAAAGTAACTCAAATGACTGTAATGCACAATGATGTTTGAGGACCCCGTTAATGAACAAAAATTGGAATATATTTGCATATTTTTTTCAGAAGTAGCTCAGATTAGAATAAAATAAAAGTTTTATTCCCATAATTCATTCCATCATATAACTAAAAGTTAGAGTATTGATATTTAGTTATGCATTTGGAAGACAGGACAAGGTCCGGTACTGAAGCCTCTGACTGGAATAGAATTGACCCAGGGATCTGTGCTCTGTGAACTGTGATGAGGGGCCTCATTAAAGGAGGCAGCATCTGTGGTCACTGCTGGTAGCACAGGCATCCAAGAACAGGTGAGCTTTTGCAGCAGACGAGCAGGTATGGCAGCGAATCCAGAAGGGGTGGAAGGAATGGGGGAGTATCAGGTGGTCTAGGCAGGCAAGCACTGAACACCCTCTGCGGTCTCAGCCACGGTGCTGGAGTTTGGCCTGGATTCAGCTCCAGTTAGGGGACAAGATGGGATGATTGATAGATTGTGAGATTAATACTCAGAACCAGGGCAGAACCTGTTCCTGGAGTATGTCCACTTATACACAACAGGGACCAGGGTAAGAAGGGAGAAGAGTAACCATGTTGTCGAATAGCATAATTACAGTGGACGGAGAGCAGAGCTCAGACCTTGGAGCACGGAACCTTTGGATCTCCATTGGTGAACACTCAGCAGACATCAGGGTTCAGCGGTCCGCCGCCAGAAAATGTTTCTGATTAGGCCAACAGAGAGAAAATATGGTGCGAAGAAGCATCTGTTTGGAGAGCTAGCCAGGAACTAAGATGGATTAAAAACTTGCTGGTTCACAAAAGGATTGGCCTATGAACTGGACAGGACCGGTCCTAGATTTTCAGTACTCAGTAATCCAACTGAGGAAAACAGAGGCAGTGAAAGAAGCTGATGGTTGAGATATTTAAAGTGATAATAGTATTTTGATTTATATATTAAAATATACATAGATTTCTATTTGCAGCGACGTGAATGGAGCTAGAGTATGTTATGCTGAGCCAAAAAAGTCGGAGAAAAACAAATGCCATATGATTTCATTCATGTGTGGAATTTAAGAAACAAAACAGATGAAATATGGGAGGGGGGAAAGAAAGAGAGGGAAATAAACCATAAGAGACTTTTTTTTAAAAATTAAGATTTTATTTATTTATTTGAGAGAGAGTGAATGAGTGCACAAGCAGGCAGAGAGGCAGGCAGAAGGAGAGGGAGAAGCAGACTCCCCACTGACCTGGGAGCCCATTGCAGGGCTCAATCCCAAGACCCTGGGATCATGACCTGAGTCGAAGTCAGACACTTAACTGACTACGTTTAACTGACTGAGACACCCAGGCGCCCCATAAGAGACTCTTAATGATAGAGAACAAATTGAAGGTTGATAGAGCAAGGTGGGCAGGGAGTGGGCCAAGTGGGTGGTGGATATTAAGGAGGGCACTTATGAGGAGCACTGGGTATTATATGTAAGTGGTGTATCACTAAATTCTACTCCTGAAACTAGTATTGCACTGTATGTTAACTAATTAGAATTTAAATAGGAGTTTGAAAAAAAAAAAAACCTTACATTTTTAATTTATGTTAGGAATGGATATTAGTCCCTAAGAATAAATACACTCTTACCTTGGTGAGTCAGTAAACGTTGACAAAGCAATGGAAGAATATAGTCATCTTTGTCTCCTCCATTCTCCAGTACCCATCCCAGAACCAGAATCACTAAGGCAGTACCAGGCTGCCTAACGTGTTGGGGAACCAGATTATGGCTCAGCTTGGAGCAGTCCAGCAATTCCACGTGCTGCCAGTGTTTTTAAGGGTTTGGCTTTAATTGATCTTGTTTAATTAAAAAATTCCAGGGCTTCAGTTATTACTCCTAGCTTATTTAGCAAAAATACGAGCTGTCAAGAAAAATGCTCTTGCAGAATTTTATCTTAGGAATAAATTCTGTTTTGACATGACTGCTCTGCATGCTTTCTTTTGCCAGTTACACCCAGAGTTAAGCACTATATCAGAAGATGGGAAAGAATATCAGTTGAAGATAGCGAGCACAGTTCCTGTCATTTGTTCTGAACCCAGTGAGCTTGGCCAGCAGTGCAAAATCTCATTAAAACTGAAAACTGTTGATCAAGGTAATATTTTAAATTCACTTAATTTTATTATTAGATTTCAGATAATAATTAATGCTTTTTTTTTCTTCTAGAAAAAGTCACTGGAGTGTGTACATGTAATTAATTATGTTGTGTGTTTACATCAAGTTATGGCTCACTCATATTAATACTTCTGGGCTATTATCATGACTGTCAAAACAATCTATTGCAGTTCTCATTTATCCCTCCTGGCCTGGAAGCTTTTGTTAAAACCAACCAACCAGCCCAGTAATGAGCAGCTCCTCCTCTTATTCTCTCCTCCTCTCATTCTCTTCCTCCTCTCACTTATTATTTTTTTTCTTTGCTTTGTTTTCGGAGATGGAGGGACAAACTGCTCTTGAAGATTTTCCAAATACCCCGAAATAGGGAGGTGTGATATGGAACTTATGCCAACATAAGTTCCAACTTAGGCAACGTGAATCTCCTAATGCATTCTTTACTTCTCTCTCCCTAATGTAAGCTTGTGTTTGAGATCTTTTGTTTTAAAATTCTATTTAAATTACTAATTATATAGATTGTAGGATGCATGGCTGCATATATGTCACTGTCACAGCCTCTAGAGAAAGGTGAAATTCTCCCATGAACATGATAGAGTACGAGAGGACAAACCATTTATAGCAATCATTGGGTTGATTAGATTCTGTTTCTCCCCCTAAGACTCCGATATAGAGACCAAAGCACATAAGAGATACATAAATTAGAATGCAACTTTTAAGAGAGATTCTGTTTATACACCTTTTCACCATAGGACATAAAATGTTATGTATATTTATTACATACAATATATACAATACAATATATCTAGGTCTTCATGTCTGTATTACACCAGATTATATGGCTGCTGAAGCGAGCACCGTATTACACCAAATTAAACCAGAGAAACAAAAGGATAAAAAGAGAGTCTGATGGGAATGAATGCTGCACCCAGTAAAGAGATGGATATGGAAATAGAAAGAGGCATCGAGAGAGGCCGTCTCCAGGCAGTTGACAATAAGCAGGCTGAGGTCATACCCTGCTACGTATTTAGATTTCTGGGAGCACCATGAGCAGTATTGTATTTTGAAATTCAGCAGAGAAATATGAAATTAGACCCTCTCTCACACCACTTGACATAATTCTACTTCAGACAACCTGTGAAAAGCATATTTTGTAAATTTTGTTACAGTTTACGGGGACGAATAGGAAGAGGAAGATGTTACTGGTATTTTCCAATTGTGTTAGCCAAAGATTTTCTCCAGTTGCAGGTTTACTTTGAGTTATATTTGTGTGCTCTCAATTCTTTCAACAAGACAAGCATTATAATAATAGAAAAGCAATATATTTCTACATTTTCAAAGTTTGCATGTTCCTGTTATCTGTCAATTAAAAATAATTTCCTTTTTTTCTGGAGAAGAATTTCTGGATTTCATTTTGGATATGTTTCACCTTATTTTTTTTAAGTGTATCTACTTCCATAGAGAACAAGTTGGTCTCTCCTAATGTATTTCTACAATGACTATGCTGCTTTATTACAGGCTTACAGAGAACAATACTTGGCCCTCACACCATAGACTGAGGAAATGATGTCAGGGGCTATATCCAAGCCAGATGTTTTCCATGATCACCTTAGGGAGCTGGCTAAGAGTTTAGATGTTTTTGTTAATTTTTATGTGTATAGGAACAGTATGTATTTCTAGGGGGGAAAATGCATGAATAAGAACTTTTTTTTTCTTTCTCAGGAATTTGTAGTCCAATACAGTGTTCTATATCAGACCAATATAATTTTATACCTTAAAATTATGTGTCGAAGAAAAGAAGATAGAAAGTTTTTAACAACTGCTGCTTTTTTCTGGATCTCAAAAGGATTTTGTAATCAATAATTAGATAGGAGAGCAAACTTCCCTTTTTGCCAGTTTTTGGAGCAATCTATCCTTTTTGTTTAGTGGTACATTCCAGAAGTTCCTTTTTCCCTCTTCTCTTACCATTTTCTTTCTAGATTATTATTTTTTGTTCTTTTGTTCTTTTTTTGTGTTTTTGTTCTTTGTTCCATAGGAAAGGGAGCATCTCAATATATTCAAGGTTCTGAATATATTGGGACATTTGGGAGAAGAAAAGGAATAGAGAGTTTATTACCATGTGGAATTACTTAATTTATGTTAACATTTCTGTTTTTAAGATGATGATCCAATAATCATCTATACCAACAATCGTTGCTATCACTCAACAATGGATAGGACATGAGTACAAACCCTGTGAAATGTCACAGACATATCAGGACCGAAGGCACAATTCTTAGGCAGAAAGAACATCACATTATGTTTCTTGGTGGTGGAATCATGATTTTTTCTTACAGAAATACAATACATTTTCTATACTGCTTTTGAATTTTATGCAGGTACATATGGATTTATAGCATTATTGAAAATAGTACTGTGTATGTACATATATGTGTATATATTGAAGTTAATTAATTCATTGTAAAGATTGGGTAGGGTTCAGTAGCTTTGTTTTTATTTAGACAAAATTACAACCATATTTTTAAATAAGAGAAAAGAGGAATAATCTCTCAATTCAGTGTTCCATGTTAATCAAGTTGTCACATGCTTTGGTTGGTATATTTCCTTTAAAAAAATGTCGATGTATTTTTTCACAAAATAGGTACAGAACAGCGAGGTTTAAATTTGGCGCTGTCTTCCTGTCACGTGGACCTTCACTGGACATCGTCCTGTGCTAACGGATCATGTAGCCATGCTTTGGTTTACTACACTGCTGTGACAGATTTTTCTCGAGATGGAGACAGAGTGACAAACATTGTAGTGGAACCTATAGTACATGAGGATTTCCTGTGGAATAGCTACATTCCAGACAGCATCCAGGTTGACAAATTACAAAAAACACCTTTACAATTGGAGCTTTAAAAAAGATATATTTATTTGATCAGTACATCTTGTAAACTTTTCATTTCAAAATTGTTTAATAAGCTTTTTCCATTTTTAAATGAATCAATTTCAATAACTGGTAAAAACAGTAATGACAAAGTCATTGAGATTGCTAAGCAATTTATTGTGTATCACTAAATACAATTAATGATAATATTTACCAAAAATGTCTTTGCTTTTAAGATCAAAGTGAAGGATGTCCCAACTGCTTACTGCTATTCATTTACTGACCCACATATAATTACATTTGATGGCAGGTAATTTCCTGAAAGTTTTTTTTTCTTTTAGTAGTTTTTGTTCTTTTGGATTTTGCTTTTGTTTTCTTTTAAACATCTTTCTATTTTATTGTTTCTTCATCCTATTCATTGAAAGATTAGATGGGAAGGCATGTATGGATATCACTGGCTTGTTTCAAAATACTAATTTATTTATTTTTTTTTTAATTTTTTTTAAAGATTTTATTTGTTTATTTATTTGTCAAAGAGAGAGAGAGAGAGAGAACACAAGCAGGCAGAGCGGGCAGGCAGAGGCAGAGAGAGAAGCAGGCTCCCCACTGAGCAAGGAGCCCCGATGCGGGACTCGATCCCAGGACCCTGGGATCATGACCTGAGCCGAAGGCAGCGGCTTAACCAACTGAGCCACCCAGGTGCCCCAAAATACTAATTTATTTGTGTGGAGTTTTTTTGCCTTCAAATTTGGCCCTTGATAAGTACACAATTTAGTTATGAGGCTGAATTAGTAAAAATGAAGATTCTTACAAATACAAATAGTCCTTTTAACTTGATTTCATTATCTTTAATAGTGGTTAAATTCTTGGCTCTAGAGATATTTACTATATTGCATTTCTACATGATACTGAAATAATCCTTAAGGTTTAGGTGAGATGATTAGGCAAACGCATTATAATCTTTTTAAAAACTGAGTATTTCTATTTCATGACAAGGATACTCAGGGGAAAACTATTGTAGCCATCATGAATACCTGGATATCTGCCCCTGGAATGCAAGTAAAATGGACAAAATGATCAAAAAGTAATCTAAGCTATCTTGCTATTAATATCTGCATATGAGGATTTAAACTCAGTTATACCGTTCTGGGGAATATCTGATTTTAAGATGTCCCTAAAGAAAATTATAAGAACAACTTTTTGTTGAGTCAAAATTGTCTTCATCATGTAAGGTAAGATAATTTATTCGTTTTAAAAAATTTTAATGTGATCATAGTCAGTAAAATTATTCAGTATGAGCAAATAAATACAGAACTCCATAGCAAATGATAATCAAAAAGTTTGAGCAATTATTGAAAAGTTGTAGAAATTGATCCCACATGCAAGATTCCTTTATGGTTACAATAAAAATCTTAGAAGTTTTAGTGGAAAAACCTCTAGAAAGCATAGTGGGGATTAATTCAATTGGTTATAATTCAACAAGATTAATTGTGCAACAGGTGACAAACCCTGTTCTCAATGCTGGGGGTATGGCAGTTCATAAAACAGACATCTCCTGCTGTCACGCAGCTCACTTCTGCATAGGTAAAGAGATATGCACAGTTGATAAATAAAATACAAACTGTATCTGAGGAACATGGGTCCTATGAAGAAAACTATAGCAGGGACAGGAGGAGAAGGCTCTAGCAGGGTTGACCAAAGTGGTAAAAGGAAGAAACAAGTCATAGGATTAGGTGTTTGTCACTACTTTGTTTCATTCAGTGCTCTAAACTAACACGAAGTAGTGGTGTCTCGGTGGCTCAGTCGGTCAAGCGTCAGAATCTTTATTTGGTCTTCGGTCCTGATCTCAGGGTGGTGGGATCAACTCACATGGGGCTCCGCACTCTGCGGGGAGTCTACTTGAGATTCTCTCCCTCTCCCCCTCCCACATGCATGTGCATGCTCTCTCTCTCTCTCTCAAATAAATAAGTAAATCAAAAAAATAAAATAAACTAATATGAAGCTATTAGATACATGGATTTTTCATTCTTGTATCAAAATACATTGAATGTGTATAAATAAATTGAACACACATTTTTTGCTTATAACGTATTGTGGTATTTTGTACAGTTCTTAATGCAGTTGATTTTTGTTAACCATAGGGTATATGATAATTTCAAAACTGGAACATTTGTGCTTTATAAGAGTGTGTCACGTGACTTTGAAGTCCATGTACGCCAGTGGGACTGTGGAAGCCTTCACTATCCTGTGTCGTGTAACTGCGGGTTTGTTGCCAAAGAAGAAGGTGATGTTGTTACTTTTGATATGTGCAGTGGTCAGCTACATGGATCACAGCCATATTTATCTGTAAAGAGCCAAGATGTAACCAGCAATATCAAGATAAGTGAATCCTACTTAGGAAGAAAAGTCACAGTATGTATGATTTTTTTAAAGTATTTGTCCTCTTTTTCCTACAGATTTTGGATTAAAATCTGAACTTCTTTTCATCTCTATTAAATTAGGAACTATCATATTTTAACATTAGTTTTCCCCCAGAAATAGCTTTTTGACAACTAATACTGATCTTAGTAGGAATAACTTTTTTCTTTTTCTGGCTTAGCACACACGAATAGACACAACATAGTTAATACTTCATCAAATCTAACCAGCCTTACTTTAAGATTTCAGTGTAGTAACTTGGTGGGTTATTCCTATAAATTATTTTTGACAGTTCTGAGTAAATAGTATATTACACAGAGATGAAATATATAATTAAGAATAAGTATTCAGGGGGGTGCCTGGGTGGTTCAGTCGATTAAGGATCTGCCTTCAGCTCAGGTCATGGTCCTGGGGTTCTGGGATCCAGCCCCACATCAGGCTCCCTGCTCAGCAGAAAGCCTGCTTCTCCTTTTCCCACTCCCCCTGCTTGTGTTCCCTGTCTCGCTGTGTCTCTATCAAATAAGTAAAATCTTTTTAAAAAAGTAAGTGTCCAGGAGTAGTTAGCCAATTTTTGAAATGAATACAGGTGGTTCTGTCTCAGGAATAGGCTGGTAGATACATGGAAAAGATTAGAGATCATTAATATTTTAAAATAATAGTTCGTGTGTGTAAGCTATTTATATTATAATGTCATTTTCCTTTCATCTTCCAAAAAAGTATATTCCAAGTGAATAAGATTCAAATTTAAATGAAAGTAGTAGAAAATACAGATGAATGTTTCTATAACATTGAGGTAAACAAGAATTTTTAAACATAATGTTATGTATTTAAATTCCATCCTTAAAAACTAAAATGCAAATGAAAAACTGGGAAAATATTTTCTACATATAAAATATACAGTTAATATAAAAAACACTCCTTTTTGGAAGTATTTTTCTATTTTCCTGTCTTTTTGTTTGTTTGTTTGTTTTAAGAAACTCTACACCCAACGTGGGTCTTGAATTCATAACCCCAAGATCAAGAGTCGCATGGCGCTACTGGGCCAGCCAGGTGCCCCTAGAAAACACTCTTATACATCACTAACAATCAGCACTTCAATTAAAATGAGCAAATAATATACACAGGCAATTCACGAAAGAAAACTGTAAATATATCCAAAAGTATAAATAACCAACAAAAATATGAAAACCACGACCTCATTAGTAATCGAAGAAATGCAGATTAAACATCTCATACAATGTTGGCAAGAATAGAAATAGTAGCTACAGTCTTTCCAAAGGACATAGCTATATTATGCATGCACACAACCTACGCATGTCATTTTTCAAGAAATTTTACTTCTGAAAATTTACTGTAATAAGTATATTCAGAGTCCTGATAGTGTTCATTGTATCTCTCCTTCCAAGATCAATGATGAATCTTGTAGTTTAACCAAAACCCCAAGTAAAGTGATGTCACACAATAGAACACTGTCTAGTCATGAAAATTTTGGAGTCAATTGTATTAATTGGCAGGCAAAGATATAGGAACATATAGGAACAGTTTTAGAAAAATCGGCACCAAAATCTTAACATGAACTAGCTCAGATTGAATGGTAATGTAAGGTTTGTTTGCTTTTAAAATGATTTTTGGGAGTGAGCACTTAACGATTTTTATAGAGAAAAAAATGGCATTTTTAAATTAAAAAATTGAAGGAGAAAGAGATGAACAAACATAGATCGTGTATCTTCAGTGACTTTAGAAGAGAGCATTTCTCAACATTCAGGTCCCTGATCTGGGAGCAGCGGTTGGCCTGTGAGGAGGATCATGGATGACACAGGCTATTGAGATAATTTGACAAACCCCTTACTCTTATTCCGACTCCCCAGGTATGCCCTGTTTATAATTTGGCTTATGATTCTGTTTGCCTACTGTGAAGATGAGAATGTTGATTAGCCACAGGAACATGTATTCCTCTGGAATTACATTTATCTGTGTAAATTAATTACTTGGCAGTCTAGTTCCATACTTAATTATTATCAGAGACATTACTTGGTAAACATAATCCTCAACATTTATAGCTGTTTTGATTGTATAAAATACCCCACCTTAGTTTAGAAGAAAAGAGGTTTGAAAAAAGAAAGAGGTTTGAACAATATTTTGCAATAAAAGAGTCAATATATAGATCAGATTTCAAGTCTGCAAAGTGTAAAAGCTATTGATTTGACACATAGCATTAAAAGAAAAATTGTAATCTGAAGAAAATCAGTATTCTGTTCTCTCTTTATATTGAAGGAATAAATGAATTTGTTTCTTCTCAAATAGTTTTTTTTTCCTTAATCCATATTGAATATTGCTTAAGCATCTTTTATTTCTGTATTTCAGGTTTGGTTTTCTTCTGGAGCATTTATCCGTGCTGATCTTAGTGAATGGGGCATGAGTTTAACAATCAGAGCCCCTAGCCTAGACTATAGAAACACTTTGGGACTTTGTGGCACCTTTGATGAAAACCCAGAAAATGATTTCCATAATAAAAATGGGATAAAAATTGATCTAACTTTTGATAATTGTGTTGCTTTTATTAATGAATGGAGGTAAGAAAGTAAACTGTTTTCATTTGTTACTGTGTTTAGTGGAGACACAATACTCTGCCTTTTTTTTTTTTTTTTTTTTTTTTTTTGGCAACATGTTACTGAGAAAAAATGTTCTTGTGCAATTTATTATTCTTTTCTGTTTTTCACCTGGAAGGATTTTGCCAGGGAAAAGCATGTTTGACACAATGCCAGTTTCTCCGCCTTCACCTGGAAAACTGTCCTATTGTAGCTGCTCATCGGACACTAATTCTTTATATCCTTCCAATCGTCTGGACAGTGCTTCTCAACAAGAGATTGTTTCAGGTTGCAGAGATCTCAAACATGTCAGATTCTCTTTCTTGATACCAGAACTAGATGTCACCTCTGAGTATATTAGTTCAGAAGCTCTTATCAGAGGGATAAATGAGTATACATCTGGAGAAGAAAATAATTCGAACTTCCTGCCTCAAGAAAAAAATCATGTGAACCTAACCAAACTGGAATTACATTTACAAAAACATCCTGGAAATGAAAAACAAGAGGCACCAAAAACTCTGGACAATGGGAAACATACATGGGGCGAGGGTAGCCACAGCCAGGAAATGAGGCGGGATCCACAAAACAGATGGAAACGGCAAAACTTTTATGAGTTTCTTCCTATGTTTGCTTTCCAAAGTCTTAGCCAAAGTGACCTAGAAGAACTTGCTTATTTCTTCCCTGAGGACCATATTGAGGATGTCCACCAGGAGTTTGTCCCTACATGGCCCACACCCTCTGGTCTCACCGAACACGGCACTTTGTCGCTCTGCCAGCAGACTCTTGCCAACTCTAGCATAGGAAGACACTGTCTCGCCTTTCTGGGCAAGAGCCTAGATACTGCTATAGATATGTGTGTTCAAGATGTTCTTCTAAAAGATGATCTTAGCTGGGCAGAAGCCGGTGTGGCTCTTTTAGAAAATGAATGTGAAAAGAGAATTTTGGAAGAGGGGAAACACAGCACAGAAGAATACAGCAAGTCAGTTGAAGACATTCTCGAGGTCCTCAAATGCCCCAGTTTATGCAGTGGCAATGGGGAGTGTGTGGAATGGGGATGCGCATGCTCCCCAGGCTTTAGTTCCTATGACTGCAGTGATTCACACGGTGAGTGAGAACTCTACAGCTTTGATATTGCATATGCTATTGGGTTATGGAATTCTTTGTTCTTTTTTTACTTTCAGTATTTTAACAGTGTTTATTCAGATTATTTAGGGAAAAGAACCCCAATTAACTAATTGATACAGTCATAATTCTTCCAAAGCATCTCATCTTAGAGTAAAAGCTGTGGTACTTAAAATAGCCTATAAGGCAGGCTGTACCTCTTCAAACTCATCTCCTACAACTAAAACCCTCACTCATTTCACTCTACCCATTTTGGTTTCTGTAATGCCAAGTTTTCTTGACCTCAGGGTCTTTGCATGCAGTTCCTCCCTCCTGTTGTAGAGAATAATCATTTTTTTCTAGAACTCAAATTTAGTATTTTTTGGATACTGTGTTTCTAATATTCTGCTAATTATGCCAGTTTTCTTAATTTTTTTCTCTAATCCACCTACATGGTGCAAACTATTACGTCCCAATATGTAAGAGAAAGAAATTTTTAAATATCAATTTGAGGGGCACCTGGGCAGCTCATTCAGTTAAGCATCTGTCTTCAGCTCACGTCATGATCACGGGGTTGACCCTGTGATCCAACCAGCATGGGCATCAGGCTCCCTGCTCAGCGGGGAGCCTGCTTTTTCCTCCGCCTCTGCCCACCCCCCTGCTCTTGTTCTCTCTCTCAAATAAATAAACAAAGTCTTTAAAAAAAATCAATTTGATTTCATTAGCCATTAAACCAGTAATTCCAGATTTTCCTTCTACCCCCACCATCCCACCCTTGTATCTGAGAGACTTCGCCGTCTCAGTAAATGCAAACTTCACTCCCCTGACTGTTCACGTTAAAAACTTAGAGTCATTTTGACTCTTCATCTTTTTTTTTGTTCATGCCTCAGGCTTAATCTGTTAGTAGCAAATCTGGCTCTAGCTTTAACAATTTTCATCTCTTTCCCAGCTACAATTTAGTCCAAGCCACCTTTATTTCTCATCTGGATTATTACAGATTTTCTCAAAATTTATTCTCCATGCAGCAGCTAAAGTGATCCCTTTGAAATGGTAGTGGAATTATAGTACTCCTGCTTAAATCCCTCTCATGGCTGTCCTTCTCCTTCCAAGTAAAACCTACATTCCCTACCGTGGCCTAGAAGACCTAATGCAGTTGGAGCTTCCTCTCTCACTGAATTTCATGTCATTCTCTCCAGAGCTCATGGCCCCACAGTGTTATTAAGTGGTTGCTTTGCTGTTTCTCAAAGAGGCCAAACCTGCTCCTACCTCAGGACTTTTGCATTTACTTTCCGTCTCACTGGAGCATTCTTCCAACATCTATCTTTGTGATGGACTTCCTTCTCTTCTCTCTTCAAATGTTATTATTTGAGACATCTTCCATGGTCATTCAAAATAAAGTAGTTTCCTTCACACACCCCATAGTCTTTATGTCCCTTCATATAGTTAATATATAAGTTTTCTTCATAGTCTTGAAAACAATTATGCAATATACTTTATTTTTCACTTGTTTTCTTTTTGTCCTCCTATATTAGAATGTAAGTTATAAGAAGGCAGGAGTTTTATTCTGTTCATATATCCTTGGTGCCTAGAATAACATCAGAAAAATAGAAATTGCTCAGTAAACATTTGTTGAATATGAAAGAATAAAGTAGCAAATATATATTTTTAATTTTCACAAATATTTTAGTGTTCTGAGCACGCAATTTATGATCTTATATTCCACTGCTAGTAAAGTTATATCCACTTAGATTTTGCCAGTACTTAGAGAACTGTTACTTTTATATGCAGCATTTATCTATTTTGACAGCCAGATCTTGCTGATACAGATAGTGTATCATCTTACTGAGACCAGAATCAGATATGTAACAATATGATAATCAGTTAACTCTGACAGCTAGGAGAAATTTTTTTCCAGTGATTGAAAGTACACCTAAGATTGTGGTGGCATATAGGATAGCAATAATACATAACATTAGTAACATTTTCATGAAATTTTGATAACTCTTATACTGTTTAAGAATTTTAAAATTTTAACACATTAAATTTTAACACATTGCTAATTACACTGTTTTATTACAAAAGTATTTTTTAAGGTTTTTTTTTTTAGGGATTTTATTTATTTATCTGACAGAGAGAGATCACAAGTAGGCAGAGCGGCAAGCAGAGAGAGAGGGGTGAAGCAGGCTCCCTGCTGAGCAGAGATCCTGATGCAGGGCTCCATCTCAGGACCCTGAGATCATGACCTGAGCTGAAGACAGAGGCTTTAACCCACTGAGCCACCCAGGCACCCCTACAAAAGTATTTTTGGTATAACCCATTTCTATGGCATAGACCAAAATGGCAAGAACAAAACACAGGCCATTGTAGTAGTAATTTCTTAATGCTTGTAAATAATTGGTATTAAACATTATTAAAACATTAATTAAACCTGTATATTTAGGCACTGGTAGTATCTTTAATGCTATTTTTATTGCTTTGATGGTGGGTCACACTTAACACCAGATTTCTCTTAATATTTAATAGTTCAGGGGTGCCTGGGTGGCTTAGTGGGTTAAGCGTCATGATCCCGGGACCTGGGATGGAGCCCCTGGTTGGGCTTCCTGAGCTGCTCAGCAGGGAGCCAGCTTCTCCCTCTCCCTGCCACTCCCCCTGCTTGTACTCTCTCTCTCTCTGTCAAATAAATAATATCTTTAAAATACATACATACATATATATATACATATATATATATTTGTTTAATTAATGTACTAATATTTGGAGTAGAGTTCAGAATATATTTTCCGTATGCTTTTAACTTGGACCTTGAAAATAATTAGTTTATTTTTCTGGAATTAAAGAAAATTTGTCCATTTTGTTTTATCATTCTGTCCAAAGACAAGACTCCTGAAATTATAGAACTTGAGAATGCTGGATTCTGTAATATTCGAAAATATAATTGTATGACAGTGAGAGTGTTTGGTCAAGGCTTCAAAGAATCACCTTCAATTAAATGTGAAGTTACTAAACTGCAGGTATGTTAATTATAGTGTTGAAAAACAATCAAGTTTATGATTTATTCAGATTAATTTTATCTTGAATTAATTTAGTCTGTCAATTAATAACATAATCTCAATGGATGTCATAGCCACAGAGCGCTCAATAGGAAAATGGTTGAATTGCTTGACCTTAAAGCTTCTTCCTTATTTGTTAACTCTATTAAGCTATTTTTATTGCAGTATTGGTTCATTATTCTAGTTATAATAAAAAATTAAAATAATATTAAGCTTGATATGGAAGCTTCTGTATTTATTAAAATGTAAAACCACAAAGAATGGAGATCATTTTTATCCAAGCCAGCCTGTGTGGCTTAAGGGGCACAAGGATATGAACAGTTCCCTTTACAAAACAAAATGTTGAAGAATAATTGTACTTATCCCTTATTTCAAAAAGGAAATAGTGTTTTTCTTTCTTTAGGCCATAAATAATGGACATGATCACTCAGTTTGAACACTGGTGTATCAAATTACACCTTATTTTGACGATTATTTATATGGTCTTCCTTCTCTTTATTCAAGTGGATTTTTATTTTAAGGGAAATTCTTTTAAAGCACCTACTTGGATAAGCTGAAAACTTAAGACAGCAAATGACATTTTAGCATTCTTTTTACTTTTTCTCTAAATTGCTAAAGCCAAATGGGATCCTGAGATTGAGAATTTAAGGAGGAAATAACTTTTGTATCTGTCTTTATCAAATATTTATACAAGAAAAATATGCTTATTTCCAGATTTTTTTAGTAGAGCTTTTCTAAATAACCATGAAATATTTTAATCCTAATGAAATAATAAGACACACAATAGAAAATGGAATATATATATAATTTTGTTCACTTAGTATTACTCAAGAGAGTAGACATTATATTGTTTGTGGCAGAATGAATCATATGATATATACTACCATTAAGTGATTTGCCAAGAAAGAGAAAGTACATTTTGTACTTACTTTCAGATATATTATTTGCTGTGATATTTATTCTCATACTACCTTTTTTTCCCCTAATCATTTGATAAAGAGCACGCTATGAAATTTTCTAACATACTATACAGAACTACAGAAAGAAATATCGATGTTCACTAGCCCAAACCAAACTTAATTAGATTAGCTATTTTCTTTAGCACCCTGTTCAGGGTATTTATATATTTCATTTGTAATACAATTTTTTTTAAAGATTTTTATTTATTTATTTGATAGACAGAAATCACAAGTAGGCAGAGAGGCAGGCAGAGAGAGAGGAGGAAGCAGGCTCCCCGCCAAGCAGAGAGCCCGATGCGGGGCTCGATCCCAGGACCCTGAGATCATGACCTGAGCCGAAGGCAGAGGCTTTAACCCACTGAGCCACCCAGGTGCCCCTTTTAATGTTTGTATTCCACTTTGAATATCCTCTGCACTCTGGTTGATTTTAGTTATGTACTTATTTGGAACGTATACAAAATACTATCATGGTTCTGAGGGTTTGCACCATACGAAAGGTACACACAGAGAAATGTCACCGTTTTATCATCTCTACCACTCTGTCCATTACCCTTTCTTTCCATCCCATTTCCATCTATCCCCTGAAAGTATCCACTCTCACTCTTCTCTGGTTTATTCTTACTGCCTTTCTTTTGCACAAAGGAACAGATAAATCCCTTTTTTTCACATGAGAGGTAGCATATTATAGATGTTCTTTTCTACTTTTACAGTAGTAATTTTAAACAAGTTTTTATCTAGAGATGCAAGCACCCACCCAATCCTTTCTTTAACTCCCTGCCCCCAGACCAGGACTTTACAGAATCCAATTTTTAAATACTTAGAGGATTAAATCCAAATAGCTATCCTAAAAATGAATGGCCCTTTGTGATCCAGCTCTTGTCTATTTTTGCAAACTTGAACCTCCTGGATATGCTCTACTAAAATCTCATGCTGTCTCATGGATCCCCACATTTCACTTGCTATTCCCTCCAAACAAATTGAATAGCACTCTCTCCATTTCTGCTCCCTGTGTCTGAATAGCAGTCTCTTCTACTTTCAGGAGGAGAAGCCTCTCTTGACTGCTAGAGTCAGTGGCTTCTTTCTCTTTCATTAAGCTTTATTTGAGTCTTGGTTACAGTAATATTAAAACTATTTTGTCTGTCTTTTCCTCTGTGATCTTTTTCATCAGAAAGTCCTCAGCACCTATAGATACTCACAAAATATTGATCAATGGAAAATAAATAGAACTCTGTTTATTCCTTATTTGGGGGAGGCTTCTCTAAATGTGGGTGGAAATGATTTCTCTATGAAATCTCATTCAATACACAAAGTCCTGTATCCATCTAAGTGTCTTTATCATGACTACCCGGAGACATTGTTGTTAGTCCCCCTCCATAGGGGGGTACCACTGAACTGACCTGTCTGTAGGGCCAGACTCTACACATCCCCTTAAACGTGGAGATTTCTACTGTGACCTACTCTGTCAGTCATCAGTATTTAATATAGTTTTAATATATATAGTATTTAATATAGTTTCTGCTGGCTACAGATGACCGCATGTTCTTGCCTTCTTTTCCATCTCCTACTGACCCTCAGTATGGCAGCATCAACATGCTCCTTGCCCATTTCTGAGCAATTGAAAGCATTCTACAGTCATAAATTTTTAAAAAAATGTAAATCAAAATATTGTTAATAAAATATGGCCTTTTAGTTTTCTATATAGTTACCAGTACCAGAAAATTATTCTGGCTTTTCTTCTTTAGGCACCAATGCATTTTAATACTGAAAAGTAATCCCTTAATATAGATTAAGTATGATTTGCTACTGAGTTATTAAGTAGAGTGAACTGGTTAGAATTAAGTTTTCAGTTACGTAAATTTATCCGAACTATCTTGAGCAAAAATGGTACTTATTATGAGGACAGTACGTTTTTCACAGAATCAGGATTAGAATGTAATTGCCGACTTCTCAGGAATAACTTGAATTTGGGACTTGAACACATGAAAACTCAGTATGTCTGCATTTGTATGTGTGTGTAGTTATCTATCTCAGTTCTTTTTTTCTCTGTGGCCTTCATTTTTCCCTTTCATTAGATACTGGCTTTCTCCACATAGTGAAAAACAACAGCCACCCATAGCTCCATAACTTTGTGTCTTGCACCTCAAGCCACCAGAAGCAGACTGGTCCAACGTGCCCCCTGGGACAAAGTTAAAATAGTCCAAGTAATCAAAGCATTGGCTCAACTTAGATCCACCCCTGGAGTGGTTACATGTAGTCAGGAAGATGGGTCATATAAGAACTTGAGAGGGCTCTGGGAACCAGACAGAAAGAGCAATTTCAAGTTGCAGTAGAAGGTTAGGAGCTTTTGCAGGAGAAATGACTTTCTGGGTAGGAAATCAATCCACTGTTGGCCAGTTATGTAGTCGAATGTGTTTCCTCTTGCTACAAAACTCATGGCATGGTGATTCATTATATATGACTGATACTGGTAACTTCTTTGATTTGAACTCACAAGAAATGCATGAGGTGTCGGAAGCAGTTTACATCAAATTAAAGTGTATATGGTTTTCATTATTCTGGATAAAATTCAATGTTGATGTCACTTTTATTACTTCATTATATATTCCATTATACCAGCCATGCATTTTAAAATTTATCTTTTGATTATATGTAATTCACTAGCAAGGAAATTCTATAATTAAACAGAGGTTAATTGCCTTCTCATTATGCCTTTAGTATAATAACAGTAAATGGGTCCTTGGAAAAGCTGTCTACACGAATACTGTTTTTCAAAATAGCAGAACCATTGATTGTCAGCTGCCCCCTGATGTCCAACAGTCTGATACCGTAAATCTGATGGGGGAGAAACCAATTGCAAAGTGGCAATTAAAGGTAAAAGAGAAAAGACATAAGTAAATTTTATATATTAAAATTTCATAATGAATTTATGAAGCTACATTTAGAATAGATCTTCTAATTATAAAACTACATCTTACAGGTATCTAATGATGGTTATAAATTCAGTAATCCCAGAATAATGATCATATATGATGGGGCTTGTCAAGTTTGTGGTCTCTATGAGAAGGACTCATGTACTATAAAGGTATGCATTTTTTTCCACTTATTTTCACATTTATACAGTTGGTATTTTCATTTCCTGTGCTATTGGCATATTAATGGCATATTAGTTTTTTCACCTTCATATCAGAAATACTAATGGAGAAAAGCCTTTCTCAAGTTTATATACAGTTAACTAAAATTGTTATTCTGCCCATAACTGTTGTTGAAATGGCAAGGAGAAGGTTTCTACCTTGTATGTTTTGAAATGGCAGTTTGTTTATTCCTTAAAAAAATTCCTTAAAAAAAAAAAGAAAGGAGGTTCAGATTGAATTTTAACTCTTACATATATTCCTTCTGAAATAGTAATAATGATTTTCCAGTAAGATGTCTCTCCACAGTTACCTAATCTTCTTTGTAACTAGGGACATGCAGGATGGAACTTGTAAAATGTATAAGGCTAGCACTTTTATAAGGAGGTTTTTTGTTTTGGGTTTTGTTTGTTGTTGTTGTTGTTGTTGTTTTGTGGCAACTAAATTCATTGGACCTTGCAAATCTCCACCACTGAAGGGATTATGGAAGAGCCCAGCCACAGCTGAATCCTCACAGCCACACCCTCTTCATTTAGCTGCAGTCTGTTGGTTTATCAACAGATCTTTCTCACAGGCCAGCTGCTGATGTAATAGATACGAGGGATCTAATATTACTTGGCTCTTCAAAACTGAGAAGCATATCAAATAATATTTATGTAGATAAAAATTTAAAGTATTGAGTTTTAGATCTTTCTTGCCTTGAGATTAGCAGCTAGATGTTATCAATAAGAAATTTCTGTTTCTGAAAAGTTGTTTGATTCTTACTTTCCCTTAAATATTCCATTTCCACATGTCTTATAAGAAATACTTTTAAAATGTTACAATTCACAATTGTTTTAAATTGTTGGGGCTATTTTGTTCTTATTTTTGTATCGTGTTCTAAGTGACATCAGAAGAGATTTTTGTCAAATATGCAAAGTTTATATATGCTGAACAAAATTTGGTCTTTTTCTCGGGTTGAAAATGATTGCTACATTTAATGTTATTTTTTTGCAGATCAGCTTCTCTACTAGTTTATATAAGGATATCCATTGTCAAATGTGGATAATTATATCATAGTTCTTGTTCAGTTTCACCATACTCAGAGGACATAGTGGGCTCCTAGAGCAAGGGAAAATCGTTAGAAACTAATGTGTTTCTATAAGATGAGCAGGGGAAAAATTATTTCATTTTTTTATTAATAGAGCATTTCCAGCCTGAGTTAGCAGTAAAAACAAAACAAAACAAACAAAGAAAAAACAAGAAGAAAAGACAGATTTTCTTCCTTGTTATTTATAAACAAATTCTACACAAAGATAAATCTACATATATGTTTTCTTATTCCCTCCATATTGATCAATTCCATAGGTAAATTACACAAAAGGAAAAGATTTGTTTTCTAACATACATTTATGATGAGGATATATGAAAAAATGTTTCCTAACCAGAATAGACTTATTATATGCTTTCACTGGAATCACCAACATTTATAGTATTACCTTTCTATGTACATTTTTTTCCCTAAACACTAACTATAATGACATCTTAATTGTTTTTCTCTTTTTAAAATTTCCATTAGGAAAATGTTTGCATTATTGATGGGCTCTGCTACATTGAAGGAGATAAAAATCCTACCAGCCCTTGTTTGATTTGTAGACCAAAAATTTCAAAATTTACTTGGTCATTTTTAGAAAGTAAGTTAATCTTTATTAATCCAGATATTTTCTCTACAAGATGTTTTTAAGTGATTTTAGACCATGAGGTACATAGTGTATATATGTACATAAATATATTTAAGTGTGTGTTTAATTTAGGATCTTTCCTAACTGCATGACTTACTTTGCTTGAACATAATATAAGATGAAATGTTATTTCATGTAATTTCTATGATTATACTACAATAGGGCATGGGATTTTCATTTTAATATTTGATACTGAAAGCAAATGTGAATTATTAATGGTAGAAATGGGAATGGCTAATTCAGTTACACACAGTCTGTACAAGTCAAATAGCTACTAACAAAATAGGCTCTCAAGTACTATATAAGTACATAAAACGTCCATCAGTAAAGTTGCTGGGTTTACTGGAAAGAGAACATTACTTTGAGACCAAAGCTCTATATCCTATCCTTAGCCTTATTTCTTTTTAGTTTTGTGACAAGACATTTAGCTATTTAAATTCCAGAGGCCATGCATTCATCAGCTGTTAAATAAGCCTTCCTGGATTCAGTAATCTATTAAGTGCCTTACAGCCCTACCTTTCTGTGACTCCGTGAATATAATAGTGGGTCCAGATAATGTCTGGATACTTAGTTTCACCCGAAAAAAACACCCCACCTCATAGTCATGTACCATATAATTTCCTCACTTCCTTAAGTACAGCTGTATATAATTCCACATAGATGTTTCTTCATTCTCTTTCCTCAATGAAAAGACCAGGCATCACAAAATACAACAAGATACATTTACTCCCTGCCCCCATCCCCGTGTAATTTTATCTGAGTCATAAAACCTTTTATTTATACTGTGCTTTGTAACATCACTATATATATTACTGTATATACAAATTTCATGACTGCATTAGACCATTTGTCAGATGATTCATTGCTCAGGTGCAAGACCCATGGGGTGTTATGGGAAGACAATGAAAATTTGGAGAAGAATTTAGTGCCAGGGACAAGGGAAACACACTATAACTTCTGAATTGGTATCTGTGTTTTTAATGGTTTCGGTATGACTGACTCATCATAGATTTACAATGTTCAAGGATACCAGGGGTTTGGAAATACCATCTGTCCCAAGTTTCTTGTATTGAGGGATGAGGAAATTAAAATCAGTAAATTGTATAAAGATATATGAGGGCAGAGCAGGAACCAGAACTACACTCTCTTGGCATCAGTGCTTTGTTGATGCAAGTAGAGTGTGTTTGTGCCCAGCACAATGGAAAAGACTATTCTTCCAATCTGTTAAGCCAGTTGGCAAGGGAGGGAGCCATTTTTTAATGTGACAATGTAAAAAGATGTTTTAAAGCATTACTTGAGCACAAAAGGAGTGCTCTCTGTCCTCTCACAGAGTTCCAGCAAGTGAGCTTGGCAGCAGGAAGGATCTCTGAGGAGCAGAGGGTTGCTGTGACTCTGTGGCCCCCAGTTATAAAGGGGGAGACAGGTACAGTGAGGAAGAGTCAGGGGAGTCAAATGAACCGTCCAGACATGGTGGAGAGTAAAGGAGAAATAAAGAAAAGAAGATGCTGAGAGGGAAAGTAAAGCTGAAAAGGGTAGAGGACAAAGAAGAGTGAGAGAACAAGCACTGAGTTGGTCGACATGGAGAGGTAATTGCAGACAGGAAAGAAAGAAGAGGCATCCAGTTTGGGGAATGCAAAAGTGTTTCTCTGTTCAGAGTGCTTTTACAGTAACTCTTGTGGCAAAGTTTGAAGTCTTGCACCTGTGAGTTACTTTTACATTTCCTCAGAATGCAATTGAATTTATTCTGAATGTAAAAAAAAAATAGAGCCAGGGTAGGTAATGGAAGTTTTAGCTGAGTTTGAACTTCATCAGAAAGTTCCAGTAGGAGCTCTCTCTATTGTACTTTCCCTTTTCCTTTTTTTTTTTCTACACGAGTACAAAGTAAATGTTTTCTCTGTGACAGACAACCAACCCCCAGTGATTCAAATACCGCAAGACAAATTGCAGACATTTTTGGGGGAGAACTTTGTGTACCAGTTCACGGCCTTGGATCCTGAAGGTTCTGACATCCATTTTACCTTGGACTCGGGTCCTGAGGGAGCAAATGTTTCCTCTACAGGACTTCTCACATGGAAAACAGAGTCCCAGACTCCACAGCAATTCACTTTACTCTTTAACGACGACTGCAATGCTGAAACGAGAGTCACAATTATGGTAATATTTATCATTACATAAATGCCACTGAATTAATTAGCAATATCGGTATCCATTTTAAACTTGCAATATAATCCTTAATTTGTGAAGAGGTACTAAATTATTCAACATTTCATGGAAAATTAAACTGCCAACATGCTGTTTTTGTCAGAATTTAAAATCTTATGGAGAATCTCAAGTCTAGAGCATGGAGCTAAAGGACTGACTCCTAGATCATTTTCACCTGTACTTAACTATGATAAGGATAAAGAATGCATTCATTTCTACCTCTCTGAAAGACCTGTGCTTAACCTCAGGTTGATAATTATACCCTTTCATTCAAGTAAAGTCATTTTTTATTGACCATTCTTTAGATATCATCAGTCATGAGCTGTTAATACTATTATTTTTTTGCACTGTATATGCTCAACATTTGGGACACACTCATACAGAAGTAATGGTATGAAGTGCAGTTGTGTACAATTTCATGGTAACCACATAATTCAAGTGATTCTTTACTCTCTGTATTTTGGGATAACTCAGGTGACTGACTGCTTTACTCTTTACGGATTTTTGTTCCGGTTGTGGTGCGTGCATTATAGAAATTGATCAATCATCTCGTAACATTTTAAAAAATTATCCCCAGCATTTATATTTTGGCTATGCTCTTGAAAGTTGGCATAATTACTTTATTAACATATCTTTTTAAATAGTCTTTTACATTAAATATATATATTTTTTTAATTAATTTATTTATTTTTGTAAAACTTGTTATCTGGTCTTGTACATAAACATACATGCCAATCACAATTTCTGGAGCATAAATTGAAGTTAATTTTATTGAAAAATAAAGCATCTTACTTTTTGTTTCTTTTGGAGGTGACTGTGAAGTCTTGTGATTGCTTGAATGGTGGATCATGTGTGTCAGATAGGAAGTTTCCTCCAGGAAGTGGAATGTACCTGTGCATCTGCTTGCCTGGCTTTGAGGGGGTTCTCTGTGAAGTGAACGTCACTGAGTGTCAATCGAACCCCTGTGGCCTTGGCAGGTGTATTAGTGGGTTTCCCAGTTATTCTTGTGTATGTCCACCTGAACTCAAAGGTGAGTTTTGGTTCTTCACGAGTCAAATTAGTATGTGATCAGATTAGAAAGGAAAGTTCTGTGGCTTTCCAAATAATCTACAGATTACTCAAGCAAGTGTATGTTCCTAAAGATTTTAATATACATTTTAAAAAGTGTAGTAATAGTCATCACAAATACATTTGCTACCAATATCCTTTTATTATTGTACATTGCTTACAGAAACTTATAATTTTGCCCATTTTTGTCATTTTAATGGCAATATTCTATGGCTGTATTGTATTTTGCAGGTTCCTAAACATTTCTGTCTAAATTTGGTAGGTAGAAATGTATTTAAATGTATTCTATTGAAATATAACATGGATAATGAAGAAATTTGCCATGGGAAATGTAAAAATTATCATTTAAGAAAGGTTTATAATTCATTTACTTAAAAGATCATGATATAAAGTTAGAGTTGAAATCAAATGAAATTTGCTAACTCATTAATTATCCTCAAATGTCTGATTCTAGAAACCTCAACTAAGAGTACGAATGACACCTTTTAATTTCCCAAAGCTTTTTGCAAGTCATACCAATGTTCCCTCTAATTTAAATACATACAAATGTTAAATAAGTAAATATGTAATTATTGAGCTGCAGTTTTTTTCTCTGAAGGCATCTATTTTAACATAAAAATGTTAGAGGTGCCTGGGTGGCTCAGTCAGTTAAGTGTGCATCTCTTGATTTCAGCTCAGGTCATGATCTCGGTCTTGAGATCAAGCCCCACATTGACTCTGGGCTTCATGAGGATTTAGGCTTGTCCCTCTCCCTCCTCTTTGGCCCCTCCTCCTGCTCAGTCTGTCATATAATAAATAAAATCTTAAAATAAAATAAAAAGTTTATCATTTGGGTCTGTTAGGCTACAGACTACATTTGATTGTTTCATGATTTTACTCTAATGAGTAAATGACTGAATATATTCATTCAGATAAGTTTTTGAACATTTCAAAGAGCAACACTTGATCACAAAAAATTTTACGAAGAAAGACTAACTTTTCCTAGCACGCTATAAAATTTTCATGGACTTTCACAGCTAATGCAATGACTGCCGTAAGTTGTCCTTAAGCTAAGCTGGCAACCATTCTAAGACCTTTTTAAAAATTCCTGGAGTGTTTTTAACAAAGTAAAAATTGCTGCTCTAATATGATAAATTTTTGCCTTAAAATATTAATGGGTTTTTGTCTTCTTTTTTATAGGGAAAATCTTATGTACTTGAAGGGTCTTGTTTAATGTTAAATAGAATCTAATTAATGACTATGTTTAACTCTGTTGTAAATTTTAAAATTAGTACATTCCTCTTAATATATTACAGCTTTTCTGCAGTTTGTAGGGCTTACCTTAATGTAATAGAAGTAAAGATATCTTTTGGAAAGTAAAAGTAAAATATCTTCAAGCAAAAGAAATCAATCAATGAGCACTTAACAAGACACATAATGTTTTTCAAAATAAATAATTTGAACTCTCAATCTTTATTTTGTTTAGGCAAAAATTGCCAGGAAGATGTTGATGAGTGTGAATCCAGGCCTTGCTTTCCAGGAGCAGAGTGTCTCAATACCTTTGGCTCCTATCATTGTGGTGCATGTCCAAAAGGATTTTATGGTGATGGGAAAATATGTCATGGTAAAAGTCCCTATTTTCTGCCATGAAATATTTTTTGCTCCATTTAATTAATCCAAATCCATCAGTTCTATTATCTCTTTTACTCCAGTATTCATTCAGTGTATATTCATTAAGTGTCATGCACTAAGCTGGAGGTGGAGGATGCAAAAATAGGTAAGACATGCCCTCTGACCTAATGGGTTTGAGTATGATACCAGGGAGTCTGATGTAATCACCATAGTTCAATATGGCATTCTATGTCTGTTGATAGAAGTGCCTGGAGAGACTAGCAGGAATACTACGCAGGGAATCACGTCTACCTGGAGGGATAATGAAAAGTTTTTTAAAAAGAAGTGTCATTACAGCTAAATCTGATGTATCCAATCAAGAGAGAAAAAGCTTTCGAGGCAGAAGAAACATCATGAACAAAGGTAGAGAGGCATGTAACATCACAGCACACCTGGGCACTATGAGTAATTAAGTGTGCTTAAAATATAGAGGGTAAGAGGGACTGCTTCAAGAGTTAAAGCTGGAGTCCTAGCCAGTGACCAGATCACCGAGAAACTGTGAGAAACATGATACAGTTTACAGTCTACTCAAGAGCAGTATGGAGGATGGACCACTTATGTGTAAGGAACTGTGCAAGTCTGAAGGTGGGAAGAAAAGCTAAGACAGTATTACAAATAAACAGGAAAGACATGAAGATAGTCTGACCTTTTAGGAGGAGGTAATGGTTGAAAGAAACACTAAAGTAGCAAGGTGATGGTCCATGGTCAGTGATTGGGATTAGCATGGAGAGAGAAAGAGAGTTACTAAGTGCCAAGTGCTCAGTTTAGGTGAATGGGCATGTAGAATTGGCTTTCATATTGCTATGCATTAATAGTGTCACCTGAAAATTCATATGTTGTGTCCCAAAACCCCATTGTGGCTGTATTTGGAGTAAGCAGTTGAATGAGGTCATAAGGGAGGATTGGGATCCAATAAGATTAGTATTCTTAGAAGAGGATACACCAGAGAGCTTCATCTCTCTCTGCCATGTGAGGACAAAGGGAGAAGAAGGACACAGGGAGAAGGTATGGGAGCCAGGAAGAGACTCTCACCAGGAACCAGATGGGCCTGCACTTTGATCTTGAACTTGCTACCCTCCAGAACGATAGGAAAATAAACTCCTTTTGTTTAGGATACTCAGTCTATGGTATTTTATTAGGCAGCCTGAGCTGACCAAGATACATGACACACATGACATCTAAGTAAGAAGAAGGGGTTTTGGAAGGGAAAGAACGAATTCACTATGGATACATAGAGACCAAGGTGACTCCAAGTGGAGCTCTGGAGGGAAGATAAAGTTAAAGATACAGTTCTTAAAGTTATCAGTCATGGGTGAAATTACCCAAAGAGAATACGAAGAGAAAGGAGGACAAAAATTGGTGGATATCAACCTTTTAAAAGCTTAAAAAAGAAAAGTTAATGATAGAAGACAGTGTCAAAGAACTGTATTTTGTTACCTTTAAGTGAATAAGACCTCATATTGATGAAAAATAAATCAGTTTGTGAGTCAGATTGGAGTGGGCCAGTCTAGCACTAGAGGTAACAGATTTAAGCCCAGTGCAGGCTGGTAAGGGGAATTCCCTACTATCTCAGCCACTCACATTTCCCCTTCAATACCCAGTTCCAAATACTCAACAGTATTGTACCCTTTACTGTGTGCACTAAAGTGATCTAAGATCAGCCTTTTGCAAACAGAGACTCATTCCCTGAATAAAACCTGTATCAAGTGGAACTTAAGAGGAAAACAAGTTGAACCATGTCCCATTACATATGAGTGATTAATAAGTTCCTTAACTCTGTCAGAGGCATTTGTGTATTTAGGAAAATGCTTGTTAATACAAAATTTTTTTTCTTATTGGTATTGTTTACTTAGTTTTATGGCAGACACCAGAGTCACTGATTATAAAAGTCAATACAGCACAGTTCTTATTCTTTAGATTGCTGACTAGAAGAGGAAAAAGACATATGAGTCAATATCAAGGACAAAACTCTGTGGGAGAATACAGATGGATGAAATTGGGTGGGTGGGTGTGTGACTATAGGAACACCTGTTAGTCACATCGGACTGCCATAACAGAATAACAGATAGGATGACTTAAACAACAGAAATTTGTTTCCTCAGAATTCTGGAGGCTGGAAGTTCAAGACCAAGGTACCAGCAGGGTTGGTTTCTGGCTTCTCTCTGTGGCTGATGGATGGCCCCCTTCTCACTGTGTCCTCACATGTGCACCCTCCTTGTGGTTCCTTCTGTTCTTAAAAGGACACCAGTCATATTGGATTAGGGCCCCAGTCATGACTTCATTTAACCCTAATTACCTCCTTAAAGGTAATACAGTCACATTTAGAATTAGGACTTTAACATAAATAAATTTGGGAGACACAATTCGGTCCATAATACAAGGATTTGCTGAAGAGGTGACATTTAAGCTAGTTCTGTAATCTAATTTGTGAAGAGTTCAATCCAGGTGACATTTTTATTCATAGTAATTTGGTTTTATAATGGTGTAATCTGTTTTTCACGTATACATCTACAGTTGAAACACAGTTTTTACATGAGTGTGCCACACATACTGTAGTTCTTACAAGTTCTAACAAAAGTGAAACTAAGGAATAGTATGGTAAAAATGCCATACAGAGAGATAGGCATTTTAAGTCAACAAATAGAAATGCCTCTAGTAAGTAATGGTCTTGCTAAATAAAATCAAAGGACAAGTAATACCTCTCATTTATTTTCCAGAAGACCAACATATTTCTTCCTTAGGAATTTTTCCCTTTAGAAAGATTGCCTAAGATTATACAATGCAGTTTACAAATTATTCTTTTTCTTTCTAATCCATTCACTCCTTGGCTTATAGTCTAGAAAAACGATGCATGTTGTATAATGAACAAATGATATCTAAGGTGATTTCTGCGAGGCTTATGATTATAAGTGACCATTTCAAAGTTACATTTTATAACTCCCTGGTCATTCAACATCGACTTAAACCTTAAAGACTAGAAGAAACTCATTATTTCATTAGGCCTTTTCTTTTCCACAGTGCTGTCCTTATAACTCTTGATTTATTCAATTAATATTCTGATTGTCTTCACAATGACCTTACACATTTTACATAAGCTTTCTTTATGGTTTTGCATTTTATAATATTAGCTATTCATCTTGCAAGATTATCACTGCGCTTATTTTGCAAGATATCTTTATCAATTACTGCAATATAGGAAAACTCTTGATTTTAATTTATTCATGCATCCAGTTGCCTTATTAAACACTCTACACTTTTTTTATAGTTGATTCTTTTTCTTGGTTTTATAAATAGACAACACCTCTTGCCAATAGTGAGTTTGTCTCTTATTCTTACTTACTTCCTTATTATAATAGTAATTATGATTTAATCTATATTTATGATATGCCAGGACAAATATTTATATACTGTGTCATTCCATCTTCTCAATAGCTATAGACAGTAACAGTTATTATTTCCATGTTAGTCATCTGTACAGAGGCATAGATGGGTTAAGTATTCTGTTCAGATACATACAATTTGTAAAAGAAGAGAGATTTGAACATGAGCAGTCTGACTGCAGTCCCAGCTCTCAAATTTGAGCCCTCATTGTAATGGCTGGACCTCCAGTGTGTAGGCAGAGAATTGTTTTTAATGATTTTAATGGAAATTCTTCTCATGTTTCACCATTAAGTATGATATTACAGTAGGTTTCTGCTAGAAACCCTTCATCCAATTAAGGGATTTTCCTTTTATTTGTTGCTTTCTCAGAATTCTCTTTAGATTTAAGTTAGAAGTGGTTTTTAGGGGCGCCTGGGTGGCTTAATGGGATTGAGCTCTCTGCTCAGCAGGGAGCCTGCTTCCCTCTCTCTCTCTGCCTACCTGTGATTACACTCTCTCTGTTAAATAAATAAATAAAATCTTTAAAAAAAAGTGGTTTTTAAATTTTATCAAATGGTTTTTCGGCATTATTTATGACTTGCTATAATTTCTATTAATGTTTTGTTAGACTAACTTTTTTAGAATGTTTTCAGGAGAAAATCGTATCAAATTTTTAACATTTTATATTTTCTTTATATTACAATATCATAATGAAATTATGTAATGTAATTCGGTAAGTAGAGATACAAGTCCATTTCATCCTGATGTTGTAGTCTGTAACTACACTGCTTCATTTCATCTGGTAGTATTTCATTGAAAATGTATATGTATTTTCATAAATGATACTGACTTTAGGATTATGTCACTTGATCAAATGTTTATAAAACTTTTCATCTCGGGGCGCCTGGGTGGCTCAGTGGGTTAAGCCTCTACCTCCGGCTCAGGTCGTGATCTCAGGGTCCTGGGATCAAGCCCCACATCAGGCTGTCTGCTCAGCGGGGAGCCTGCTTCCTCCTCTCTCTCTGTCTGCCTCTCTGCCTACTTGTGATCTCTCTCTCTGCCAAATAAATAAATAAAATCTTTAAAAAAAAAATAAAAAATTTTCTTCTCTTTCTGTGCATTGCAAGAGTTTTATACAATATTCTTTCCTTGATAATTTGGTAATTTTTTTTCCTATTAGGTCATCTGTCTTAGCATCATATTTAATGACTTTAGATTATTTTAGATTACATAGATTTAGATTATTTTTGTTTCTCTTATTGCAATTGTTCTATCAACTCCTCTGGCTCTTCTTCAGTCAATTTAACTATATATATTTTGAAAAAAAATTTTAAGTCTTCATTTAAAATTATACATAGTATGTTTGTATGATTTAAAATTTGCTTCAGATTATTATTATGAATTGCTCACATGTCAAGAATACAAACGTGAGCAATTTCCTTTGCTTTGAGCCTCAGTGTATGAAGTGGTCAATAAATGTTTGTTGGCTATTTCTAACTCTTAATAAAATTATTAATTATTGTTCTTTAACTTTTACAATGTTTAACAGTCTGGGTACCTGATATATCCAAAGAGATTGTAAATTCTTTGAAAGCAGAAAGTGTATGATGACTTCTTACTACTGCATGGTTCTTAGTGTAATGGCATACATGTGATAGGCATTAAATGAAGGAATGAATTACTTAATAAATACTGGGGAAAGAGAATATTAATAAATGTTATTGACTGACATTTCTTTTTCTTTTTTGGTTCTTCAGATATAAAATTTCAGTCACTGTCATCAGATCATTCATCATCCGGTGCAAGCTTTACCCACAGGCCTGCCTCTATCAAAAAGTTCTTGAACACAACCAGTGACATCTCGCACTTCTCATTAAAATCAGTTACAACTCAAATGAATAATTCAAAAAACATTATTTCCCATCAGCTACCAGGGTTTGAACAGGCGGATCATACTATCAGTACAAATCTCAGTCTGGAGGAATTGGGAGTGTCGACGAAAAACCATATTTCTTTAAGCATCAACCCAAATGGTTCCCCTGGTGAAGTAAAGGATGTTAAACAGAGCACTATCCAGACAGAGGCTGGAGGGAATAATTCTCAAATTAACAGGCCTGCCAAAGGTTACACGCAGTATAAGGATGGGTTTGCCTCATCAGTTACTAGAGCCATCACTATTTTGCCAGAAAAGCCTGGATGGACCAGAATATCAACTTGTGCTGACTCACCTTGTTTTCTTGGTGTTTCTTGTGTGCCAACCACAGATGGTCACTTCCGGTGTGGACGCTGCCCCCTTGGATATTATGGAGATGGTATCAATTGTAGAGGTAGTATGAAAATTCTTGAGAAGATGCAAAGAAATTATTTAGTTCACATTTAAGTGATTAAAAAGAGAGGCCTCTCTATTAATTTCTGCTTACTCCATTTAGTTCACCAATTTCTATTCATTGTATTTATTTATTATTTATATATATCCTCTTCATATTTCAAAAAAATTAACATGGCTGTTCCTGAGTTATTTTTAAAAATTAAATCAAATAGTACTATAACTATATAATATATTATAAATATGTTTTGGGTACATGCTGTGTTCCAAGGTTTATAGACACATTCTTTATCAATTATGTCATATAATCCATAAAGACTCTGCACATTGACTATTATTTTTCCATTATCCAGATAGGAAAGGCAGAGCCTTACAGGGCTAACTGACTTGCCTAGCATTAAGCAGATAAAGAGAGAAAATAAGGATATGAATAACATTGTGGTCTGGATTCTTTTTAGCTCACAGTGGGCATTTAGCACTTTAAATTACTAATTTGGGTGTATTTGCTTATTTGCATAAACTGGGTTTCTCTGTAATTCCTCCAGCTCTTGAGAATAAAACAAGTTGGGCATCACTTTAGTTTTGAAAGGAGTGTTTGCTTCTTTTCACAATTATCAGTATTGTTTTCTTTGAGGCAAATCAAATTTTTGGCTTTGATACTGCAGAAGCTATTTTGTGTTGTTGGTATTTTGTTATTTTGTTGTGTTTTGATTTATTTGAGACCAACTTAATTAAGCAATAGAGCTGTTGGGGTATGTATTTCTTTGTTCTCAGTATTACTGAGAGGTACTTTTTCTGTTTGTTTTTGGGTTGTTTTTTTTTTTTTTTTGTAGGAATAGTGATAATAATAACAACTTTCAATACTTACATGTTTATAATATAAAATGTCATATTGTTAGTAAGACAAAACAATCATACATTTTGTTTACCTCAGAAAAATGTTAGATGCCTAATAAAATATATCAGGTAGTTAAGCTTAAGGAATATAAACTTATAAACTTATGACGTGTTTCTAGCATCTTGTTCTTTGGAATTCTGATTATTCCCACCATTTACCAACATTTGTCTGATTAGTTTCTGAAACTTTATTGACCCCTGAAAAAGTGTAATCCTGTTTATGGCTAGCAGCCACCTTCAATTCAACATCAGGCTTTGCTGTGGGAGTAATGACCTCATATGGTACTTCTTTCTGACTGTATTAGTCATGTTTCTCAGTCATTCTAGTAGTAAAACAAATTCAAAGGGAAAAATAATTTTATAGATAAATGCAGTGGTTATTGTTCAGTAAGCCGCCTCGGAATTTTCAAATTTCAGAGAATTTGACTTTTCTTATAAGTCAGTCTGTGGGCAACATGTGTCTATTATATCAGCAGTTCAACCTTCTTTCCTTGATTTTTGCAGCCATTTGTAGACACCCATGTGGAAAAAGCAGGGCGTGTGTTGCCCCAAACATATGCAGGTGTAAACCGGGCTACACTGGTTCTAACTGCCAAACTGGTAGGTACAGCACTCACTAGTTTGTATAATGGATTTAATTGATAACGGGCATTTCTAAAACATGAGCTTTATTTTATACAGCTATATGTCATCCTGATTGCAGAAACCATGGAAAATGTATTAAGCCTAACGTTTGTGAATGTCCGCCAGGGCATGGTGGAGCAACATGTGATGAAGGTGATCGTTCAAATTAAAAATCAAATAAGAAGCAAAATAACACTATTTTCTCTAAAGCTTTTTAGAAAGATAATTCAGTTTTGCTGTGTCTATACTGATACATCTTAATGCTGGCAGGGAAATTAAGTTTTTTAATGTTTATTAAAAATAATTTATTTGACGCTTCTAAACACTTAAGTTTCTAAAATTAGATAGCCAAAGAGTCACAGCTTATTTTTCCTTGGTAAAATTGTCCTCAGAAGTAATATTTTTGAGATTTAGTTGTAAGGTGCCATATCCCGATATGTATTTTTTTTTTTTAAGATTTTATTTATTTATTTGTCAGAGAGAGAGAGGGAGAGAGAGCAAGCACAGGCAGACAGAATGGCAGGCAGAGGCAGAGGGAGAAGCAGGCTCCCTGATGAGCAAGGAGCCCGATGTGGGACTCGATCCCAGGACGCTGGGATCATGACCTGAGCCGAAGGCAGCTGCCTAACCAACTGAGCCACCCAGGCGTCCCCCCGATATGTATTTTAGTTTCAAGCAGGGGACTCCTGTTATTGAAAGACTTGTCAGACATGGCTCCAAGAAAGTGCTAAATACCAAATAATTAGAAGATATTAGGTGGTAAAAAGAATCCTAAAAAGTTATTTTTAACAATGTGTATATAGGGACGGCTGAGTGGCTTAGTCAGTTAAGCGTCTGCCTTTGGCTCAGGTCATGATCTCAGGGTCCTGGAATTGAGTCTGTGGGATTGACTTGCTCAATGGGGAGCCTGCTTCTCCCTCTGCCTGCCTCTCCCCCTGCTTGTGCTCTCTCTCTGTCTCTCTTTCTCTGACAAATAAATAAATAAAATATTTTTAAAATAAATAAAAAATAAAAACATGTCTATAGCCATATAATTTTTTTTTTGGAATCTTAAGAGGAGAGTTTATGAAATGGCATTTTCAAATGGATAATATTTTAAAAGGACACATTTGTTATCTTTAATATAATATTCTATTTATTATTTATTTATTTTTTAAATATTTTATTTATTTGACAAAGACAGACACAACGAGAGAGGGAACACAAGCAGGGGGCGTGGGAGAGGGAGAAGCAGGCTTCCTGCCAGGCAGGGAGCCTGATGCGGGACTCTATCCCAGGTCCCTGGGATCATGACCTGAGCCAAAGGCAGACGCTTAATGACTGAGCCACCCGGGCTCCCCTTAATATAATATCTTAAAGAATATCTTTGATAAATGGTACAAATAACTATGAACAAGCTAAGAGCCACACTAAATACTTCCATGACAAGGCAAAGTACAAATTAACAAATTAAAGTAAATCCAGAGTGAACTAATAGAAACAATATCAATGATGATGAAAATAATTGTGGAAATATAGGAGTATTCCTTTTTTTAAAAATTTTATTTATTTATTTGACAGAGAGAGAGATCACAAGTAGGCAGAGAGGCAGGCAGAGAGGCGGGTGGGGGAAGCAGGCTCCCTGCTGAGCAGAGAGCCCGGTGCAGGACTCGATCCCAGGACCCTGAGACCATGACCTGAGCCAAAGGCAGAGGCTTAACCCACTGAGCCACCCAGGTGCCCCAAGAGGAGTATTCCATTTTTAGGACAGGAATGTGTACGTCCAGGTCTCACTCTTAAGAAGAAACCCAAGATGATATATTTACATGCTAACCAAGAGATTTATAAACCAAAACATGCTGATGATTTGTTGGTGTTGTTAGAGTATAAACTTGTATAGTCAATCCCACAGAGCTAAATTTCGTAGTAAATGAGAGTTGAGTTTACTATAAACTGCTGTTAGAAGAAAGTGTATTGTGGCTGTGATTCATAAATATCAACTGACCTCTTCCTAATTCAGAGCTGACTTAAGAATATAATCTTGTGTCTGCAGAACACTGTAGTCCACCTTGTCAACATGGCGGCACCTGCTTGGCTGGAAATCTCTGCACTTGTCCTTATGGTTTTATAGGACCAAGGTGTGAAACAAGTAAGCAAAACTCTCTTGCAGCCTAATGTAAGGAAACTGCTCCTTTGAGTAGTTGGTGGCTTTAGTACTAACTAAAATAAACCCAATACCTACTTAAAGGACATATTATTCATGATATGTTCTGACAGTTCTCATTCTGCATACCCCTGGGAGCCCCAGGTGCCAGTACTAAGATAAACAAGTTTATTCTTGGAAGCAGCTCTCTTCTTGACCCTGTCCATGACCATTCCTTGAGATAATAATAAGAATTCCAGTTCGTTGGTTTGCATATAAGTTTATCTTGTTTAATTTATATCTATGATTATTTTCATTACTAATAATTTTCTCAATCGGCGAACTCTTGTTTATCATTCAGCTCAATGACTTTCTTCCTTCCCCAACTCTATTAGCAAAAAATAGCTGAATGTGAGAATCAGAGACCATTTAAAGCCAAAGAATAAGTTATTTTTCTTTTTCTCTCTGATCCTATTCATTAGAGGATGTGATTGGCAATTACAGGCTAACTAGGTAATAGCCAATAATATGGCCAGTTCCAAGCCTAATCTACCTTGCTTTTATTTTTATTCTACGACCTTAGTGGTTTGTAACAGGCACTGTGAAAATGGAGGTGAATGTCTTACACCAGATACCTGCCAGTGCAAGCCTGGCTGGTATGGACCTACTTGTGGTACAGGTAAAATCAGAAATATGTTCAGTGAATAAATCAGTTAAAACAAATGTAAAGTGCACCGGTCCTGAAGACCAGCACCCCAAAGCATAAAGCTAATGTGACAAGACTGGTATGAAGTTTTATTAGAAACCTGCCTTTTGTCTTGATTCTTCTTCTTCTTGTATCAGACCGTAGAATTTCAGCTTTACTGTTACCCAGACCAATCAGTACTTTTTTTTTTTTTTTAGCCTTTGTATTTCCATCATCCACTTGCCTCATAGTGGAGAGAAATCTGTGTTACATTTCCTCGATCTCTTTCAAGTTTTCTATCACAGCACAGACATTCTGTTTCATGAAACATTCAAACAGTTAAAGGACACCATCACGGTATTTGTGTCTTTATCACAATATCAGGCTTACTTCTTTGCCAGCATGTTCGTGGTTATCTATGAATAATCGAAGCCATTGTGATCTAATGACTTTTCTCAACATAAATTTAATTTAATGCTTATAGCTTGCCAACCATGTGTGAAGCATGATGCAAGGGGACACAAAGATCAATTTGATTTTTGCCCTGACTTCCAGTAGCACATCATTAGTGAAGGAGACACAGGATACACTTATTCAAAAAGACTATCATACAAGTTGGATTATAATAAGTAATGTAATTAGCGCATTGCTCCTTTGGAGCAGAAAAGACAAAAATTCATTCTGGCAATTACACTTTGGAAGAAAATAGTATTGAGGTATGCTTTGGAGGATGGATAAAGTCTGGGTTGAAAAATGGATTTGGGGGTGACTCTCAAAGTGTAACAAAAGTAAAGAAGCAATAACAGAATGCTTTTGAGCATGCCAGGACTTAAACACAGTGTTCCTGTTTGAATTAGGAAGGAGACTTAAAGAGATACACATGTGGCCCCATGTATTTGAGCAGATTAAAGACCATCCAGTTAGTGCTGTTGACGTGTCTTCCAATTTCCCATCATTTTTTCAGCTTACAGAGGGCATTCTGAATTCTAATCATAACCTCCATATTCTTAGTGTGGTATTATTTGTAAACTTAATGAACAGACTCTCAAAGCTATTATCCAGTTATTTCATTCCTCTTATGTTTGGCAAAGTCAAATTAATTATAGGTTATGGGTTTTACTTGCAGTAAAAATAAAATATTTCATTATGCACCATTTTGTACTTCAGTGCAGCTTTCATTTTTTAAATAATAAAACCTTTATGGTCTCTCTTCCCCCTGCTGTTCATTAGCTTTGTGTGACCCCGTTTGCCTCAATGGTGGTTCCTGTAATAAGCCAAACACTTGCCTTTGTCCAAATGGATTCTTTGGTGCACAGTGTCAGAATGGTAATTATTCTTCTTTCTTTCTAAATAAAAAGGGAAAGGCATAAACAGAACTCAGAGTAAACCTAAGACAAGTCTCAAAGGGGAAGATGCCATTTTTTTTTTTCTCTACTTCTTGTGATGTTGCTGTTGTGGTCACCGAATGATCAGATCATGGAAATGTAGGAGTTCTTATGTAAAATATTTGTATTTCTTCCCCATGTATTAGGCTCCCGGCCTCAGCACTTGGCTGGGCAGTTTTGTAGGATCAAGGTGTGAACCAAACAAGCAAAGTTCCCTTGCAGTCTGCTGTGTGCCGTGGTGCCATTTTTATTGCCCTCACAGCAAAAATGCTTGATTTGTGGCCAGTCCAATGTCCACTATTATCTCATGGTCTCTCAACTTTAGTTTTGTTAAACGTTTATGAAAAACTATGCACAGCACTGTGCAAGGTGATAGGGAGACAAAAAGACGCATCATTTCCCCCCTTCACGTCTTGCTATTTTAACACTTTCCCTGTTGTTATTCTAGAAAAAAATCTGTAGCATTGCTATGAGCTTGTCCTGAGGCTGACAGTGTAGGCATGAATTAATGTCAATAAATGAAATTTAAAATGTATTTTCTATATCTTCATATCTTTGAGTTTATGCAAAATGCAGAGTAGATTTTTAGTAGAAACATGTCAAAACCTGTCATAATTTAATTCCTAAAACCTATACTTTCCTTGCCATGTTATACTTTGATGTGATTTCATCTTTTTTATTTGGAGGTTGGCTAGGATTCTTAGGTTGCAGTCGAGGTAGAAAAGAAGCCATCGCTGAAGTACTAGTTACACAGGCATAGCAAATGAGTTTTTCTAATTAAGATTTTCTTTAAGGAAACGGCTTGTGAAAAGGGAAGAAGTAAAGACTAAGTTAAGGCAAACCTTGAAAACCAAGCAGCTACATCTAAACCCGTATTTGTGAGCTGTAGGTGTAGCTGTAGGTGTTGACTGAGAACGTAAGAAGGAAACAAAAAGCTGATAACCCCATGCTCCTTGCTGTAGATGTAAGATATAGTGAGAAAACGTCTCTATAATTTATATGCCAACCGAGTAACTGGGAAAGGAGGAAATCTCTAGATTATTAAGTATTGCACTAAAATGTATTTGTTGAACATATGTCATGTTAGCAGGTTTTGGAGTTAGGTAGCCTCTAAAACTTCTAGCTGGCATTGATTTGGGGATTGACTTAAAGTCTCCAGGATCAGACTTTCTGAATTTTGGATTTGAACTAGACAGTTGACATAAGGATTCAGTGAGACATACATACTGTAATGTATGTATGTGGCTAGCTACCAGAAATAATAGTACAATTGTTTGGGGGGTTATTTTTTTAGGGGAGGAGGGGAAGGGCAGAGGGAGAGGGAGAGAGAATCTTAAGCAGGTCCATCCAGGGCAGAGCCCAGTGCAAGGCTCAATCTCACGAGCCTGAGATTCATGACCAGAGTTCTTGACTCAAATCAAGAGTTGGACACTTGACCGACTGAGACCCGCAGGTGCCCCAGTACAGTGGTCTTTAGGACATGCTGCAGAAGATGCAGAAGAAATAAAAACATGATCTTTATTATCATTTAGGGAAAAAATAAGTTTTAAAATTTCCAGGCAGGGGGCGCCTGGGTGGCTCAGTGGGTTAAGCCTCTGCCTTCGGCTCAGGTCATGATCTCAGGGTCCTGGGATCGAGGCCCGCATCGGGCTCTCTGCTCAGCGGGGAGCCTGCTTTCTCCTCTCTCTCTATGCCTGCCTCTCTGCCTAATTGTGAACTCTCTCTCTCTGTTTCAAATAAATAAATAAAATCTTAAAAAAAAAAATTTTCCAGGCAGGTTTGCTTATCATTTTTTTTTAAATAAAGGCATTTATTGTCATTTCTGGAAGAAACATGAAGCAATAAAAATCCTCTCATAAAAGATAATAAATACTAACTTTTGAATTCCATGGAGCAGAATCATATACACAGAAAATACTAGTACAGTGTAGTCAAGGTTATCCAATAAACAGTCCTAACAAAGCCAAGGAATTACTGTTAAAAGGACTTTTCACTAAGCTTTCACAGAAATAAGGGACATATAAAGCTCTGCCTTTATGACCTCAGCAGGTGTTCAAAAGTCAACTTAAAATTATTTTCCAAAAATCATGTGTTAGATTGTTGAGATTTTTCTAATTTCTACAGGCGTAGATACATCTCTTATTTTGAGCCAGGTTTTGACTTATTTTCTTGGTTCTTCCCCAATCATTTCACTTTTTACTTCCAAGAATGGTAAAATATAAGACCAGGTTCGTAATTTAAGCACTATCGTAGCAAGATGCCGTTTGTTATGAACAGTTCATCGATACATTTCAAATTGTGCTAATCCACAGGCTGCTTAGAGCTATGAGCATTGGATTTTATGATTTAGAAAGGATGATTTTAATGACTTGCAGTTGTGATCTTTTATTTTAATAGCACATTTTTCTGCCTTATGGCCCCATAGATAACAAGCACATGAGGCAATATGTAATATGTAATATGTAATAATCAGAGATGTAATATTCACAGATTGCGGCCATGTGTTCTTTCAGCTCTCTGTCACCCTCCCTGTAAGAATGGCGGACGCTGCATGAGAAATAACGTGTGCGCCTGTCGTGAGGGATACACTGGTAGGAGATGCCAAAAAAGTAAGGCACCACTGAAGGTATTGCCAGCCAGAGGAAAAGCCAACACATGAAATAGTAAAGGATTGCTACTTGAGGGCTGTTTTCATTCTTTTCCCTGAAGGTATCTGTGATCCAGCGTGCATGAATGGAGGAAAATGCATGGGACCAAATATTTGCTCTTGTCCTTCTGGTTGGAGAGGGAAACAATGCAACATAGGTAAGAGGAACACTCTTAAAATGTTAAAGCCTCATGAGAACATAAAGCAGAATTTACTACAAAGAGCATTTTCCTTGTTTTTGTTGTGTTTTGTCTTTGTTTTTTATTGTTTGTTCCTACATTAGGGGATCCCTTTTTGAAATAGAGTAGAATAAAAAGAGCTCTGAAGTCATTCTTTCAGGTTAGCAGAGAAAGAGGATGTTCCATATTTCCAGTCTGTCCACTATAATTGCCAGGATAAATGACAAGTCTTTAAGTCCCATCTCCTTGTCTTAAGTAGGAGCAGGAGAAGGTGTAAAAAGTTACTGATTCCTTGACCCCATTTCAGACCAGCCAATTCAGACTTCCAAGGTAGGGTGCCACTGCTTTTAATCTGGCTAGGTTTTGAGGTGATAACAGCTCTCCTCATTCAAATGTTTCATTTTTTTCTTTCTATAAATTACCATTTAAAATTACCAGCTATTATAATCTATTGGTCAAAGTGAAAAAAGAAGCAACATAAATGCCCCCACCTTGAGGAAAAGTTAAATCACCACACATTCGATCAGTGGAATGTTACATAACCTTTAAAGTCGCCTTATTCAAGAATCATTGTGACATTGAAAAATGTTCTTGGTAAAATGTTAAAGGAAAAAAAATCTCCTTTAAATCATTAACTTTTAACTGGTTCTCTTTTTTCTTTGGTGAAATTTTTTGTGGTTTATTCATGAGTATTTGACTAGCAAAATAAATTTTTAATTTGTTTATATTTCTCTTTGCAGCTATCTGCATTCAGAAATGTAAAAATGGTGGTGAGTGTATTGCTCCCAGTATATGCCATTGTCCTACCACATGGGAAGGAGTGCAGTGTCAAATACGTAAGCCTACAGAATTTGTTTGTTACTCTATCTTCTGAACCTGAATCTGTTACAGTTACTGAGCAAAGTAGTGTGAGGAGAAATCATAGAAAAAAACAAATCCCAGCATGCTGATCCATTCAAAAAATGGTTTTAGAAATAAAGAAAATCTTCTTCATTGAAATACCCATTTAAAAGAAGAAAATATGGTAAAATATATTAAGATTTTATGTGACACAGGTAACTCCTAATTGTGGTCTGTGCATTGCCTTTGAAGTTCTTTCAGGTGTGCTGGAGATGGTTTTTAATATACACTTTAAATATTTTTTTCATATTATGAGAAAAATACACATCAATCATGAAAATCATAAACCATATTAAAAAGTTTTAAAAACTAAATCGCCCTAGATTCTACCACCCAGAACTAATTCCTATTATGACTTTAATATGTTAATACATTTCACTTAGTTTTAGTCATGTGTATTACATAGATGAGGTCTCAGGGTATTGAGGAAAATCAAATATTACATAATTTTAAAATGTATGAAAACTTGAAATAACATGTTAAAATATTAACGAAGATTAACTGAATGGGGGAAAACTGGAAATAACCCCCAAATATTTTTTCTTTTTTTTTTTTTTTTTAAGATTTTATTTATTTATTTGACAGAAATCATAAGTAGTCAGAGAGGCAGGCGGCGGTGGGGGAGCAGGCTCTCTGCTGAGCAGAGAGCCCAATGCAGGGCTCGATCCCAGGACTCTGAGACCATGACCTGAGCCGAAGGCAGAGGCTTAACCCACTGAGCCATCCAGGTGCCCCTCCCCCCAAATATTTTCAAATGATCAATAATTACATCATTTCAAAACTGGTGATCCAAGTGCATTATAAACTGAAAATACATAGTTACTAAACTGAACCATGTGATTTTACTGGAAATACCTGCCCTGTTTTTTTTTATGTTTTATGAACTACACTTGTTTCCATGTATCATAGATTCTGCATATAACTCCCATGACTCTTTGACTTTATTTTATTAGTAATACCTATTATAACTTACACATTTTTCTTTTTTTTTTTTTTAATATTTTATTTATTTATTTGACAGAGAGAGAGAGATCACAAGTAGGCAGAGAGGCAGGCAGAGAGAGAGCGGGGAAGCAGGCTCCCTGCTGAGCAGAGAGCCCCATTCGGGGCTCGATCCCAGGACCCTGAGATCATGACCTGAGCCGAAGGCAGAGGCTTAACCCACTGAGCCACCTAGGTGCCCCAAACTTACACATTTTTCATCTTAAGAAGATATTATCAAAGAATTCACCAAGTGCTAGTATCTACTTAAGAATTATCTGCTCAAAAATCAATAATTCTCTTTGGAAATTAGATGTGATAAATCGCTAAAAAAGAAAAAAAGCTATCACCCTCAGTTTGAGCTGCTTATTCTGGAAAGAGGGCTATGTGGTCCACAGGTGAGAATGATGAGATGTTAAAAGCACATTAGTGTTGGAAGGTGCCCCAGTGAGTGTGGGTTGGGGTACTCTGCAGCCTCATGATCTGCACTCTAATTTTGTGCCTTGTAGCACTTCTATATGAATTTTTCAAAGTCCCCATTCTCAAAATGTTTTATTTCCAACTGTCCAGAAATTCTGAATATTGACATTATTTGAACAAGATGTCTTATTGCCATCTGCTGGAAAGTTATTGTAACAAATATTCAAATCTATGATGTCTGTGATGTGAGAAGTTCTTCCTTAGCTGTGTGCATTACACAGCCTGCCCAACCATACCCAACGGCATGGTTAAAAACATAACCTTTTAATGTTGCACTTATACCAAAGCGAATAATATTCTTGGGTTACACAAACTTTCCTAATGAGCTATGGAAGAAGATATCTCTCCCATGAAAAATAACTGTATTGTATGTAATTTTATATTATACTTATTTTCACTCAGTATTACTTAAAAGTATTTTCCATGTCCTTCAAAACATAATTTTGAATGAAATATTAACTTCCATAACATATATAATATAATTTTAAATATATAATTTATACAATTCACTTGACTTTTGCCCTTCTGTTGTTTGTGTTATTACTCTGACAAGCATTTTCTGTTTGTAAGTGGATAGGTGATAATAGATACAGATAATAGATGATAATATAGGTGGATAGAGTAGGTGGATGATAGAAAAATAGATCGATATTGAGGTATGTTGAGATAGATATAGGTATTTTTAAGTTTCCTGAGGAGAAATTTTTAAGGAAGAAATTGCTAGTGTAAAAATGTTTAGGAAGTTTCTAAAACAGTTATTTCACATTAAACTTCCAATGATAGTATATTAAATTGTCAGTTTTTCCATACACTGGCTGGTACTGAATTGTTTCTTTTAAATGCTTGCTAAATTAATAAAAAACAAATTATGAATGCTATTTTATGTTATAATTTGAATCTCCTCTCTAAAGAAAGCAAGAATGTACACCAAGTGTTTAAAATGTAGCCAATGAAAATTCTCTTTGCTTTAACAATATCTTTAAAGAATAGTGAAACTGCTGTGTTAAGTTCTGGGTGTTTTGTTTTTTTATGTGTATGATGACTATATGTGTGTGCTCTGACCACACAAGGATGGGAGTGTAGTTGGCCATTCATAAAGTCTTACAACTATTTTATAGTTGAGTTGCTGAATGGCTTCTGAGCACCAGCATAGACTATGTCCCAAGCATTGGTGTCAAAGGATGTTAATGGTCAAAATTTGTGTATTGCAGCAATTTGCAATCAAAAGTGTCTTCATGGAGGCAGATGTGTATTTCCCAATGTGTGCTCTTGTCGTGATGGATATTCTGGAGTCAAATGTGAAAAGAAAGTACAGGTATTTTAAATTTTAAACAGAAAATAAATATTGACCTCTATCTACTCAGATATTTTGCTTAGCAATTGATACCTATCTGTTAATGTTTATTTTATTTCCAAATTTTAAAAAATGCAAGGATTTACTATTTGCCCTGAAACTAAAAATAATACCATTTTTGTGTCATGATAGAGTTATCTTCTTATTCAAAAGTTTGATGTGCACTTAAGGAGTTTTAATGTATAGGTATAACTGTCAAGTGTAATATTCTATTTCATGGCATTGGAGCTGAAAGAGAGCAAATATTCCCCAATATGGATTTAAGATACCACTAATTTATATTTTGGTCAAATACTAGATAAAAAGACTACCTTCACCCCCCCCCCCCCTTTTTTTTTTTTAATCTACCACTTTTATATCCACTGCTTCATTGATTTGAGGATGGGTTGTGTGCCACTAAAACCTTGTCTATCCTCATTCTTTTCCCAGACAGTATTTCTTTCTCTTTACTTGCTCCCCAGTCCATTAAGGGATGCCTGGGTGGCTCATTTGGTTAAACCTCTGCCTCCTTGCTCAGCAGGGAGCCTGCTTCTCCCTCTGCCTGCCGCTTGCCCTGCTTGTGTATGTGCACTCTCTCTCTCAAGTAAATAAATAAAATCTTTAAAAAATAAAATAAAATCCATTTCAGGGAAAGCAATAAAAAACTCTTCATATCTTTAGAATTAGGATTTATTTTTATTTTAAAAAAATCAAGAAAACAAAGGAAAAGTAGACACTTTCTTAGAGTTCCTGATATTGCCTCACTCTTAGAAGGCCAGTGCTGTAGAAACATCTATTTTAAAAGTTTCCATGATCAAATCTGTGCTCATAAGATCCAACTGAACTTTACTTTGTCTCCAATCTTAAGTTTCTGAATATCTACAGAGATCTCAAAAATTTCTTAATCGATATTAGTTTTAATATAAAAAGCAATTTTACACACCTCAGAAAGCCCAAGTGTTGTGAATATCAAAGTACACTGGAGTGCTATAATTTGAAAAATGACAAGGAATTTTCTTTTTGAAGTGTGATCCTAGATCAGTCTGGCTCAGAGGCAAAGTGCATGCGCACATGTGTTTCTACTTGCACAGGAGTTCAGCCTGGATGCATATGGCCTCCATCGTGAAAACAAAGCAAACAAGCTCATGACAGTACTGTGGTTTGAAAACCAGAAAACATAAGTTATGGAGTACCTCTTGGATCAGGTGTTGTTAAGAACAATAAATGTAAAAATGTGAATTTCCTGGCCTAAAGGCAGGGTACACATGTATTATTTTATTTAATTTGGAGATTTTTATGGCATAGAAAACCCTATGACCTCAAAAGCTTTCAATTTCATCCGACATACCAAACTAGGTGACTTAGTTATAATCTGTTTTTATCTATTTCTTTACTACCTGAATCCTTCCTCAGATCATCATCATCCCCACTAATGGTACTTCTGAGACTGCATCTGGAACCACATTAGGGAAGGAAAAGGAAAACAAAAAAGAGATTAGCTCGAGGACCCCATGTCCTGCTTTCCTATATAATCAGCTCTTCTAAATTCTTGACTTTAATTCTTACTTGAGTTTTACTCTGTTGCTCATTGGTATCAGCGCTTCGTTTGTTTTTTTATATTTCTTTGGCTCCAAAACAGAGGATAAAAATAACTTTCTTTTTAATAGGAAACAAACAAACAAACAAGTACCATTTATGAGCATTCACAGAACCTTCCCTGACTCCTACCCACTCCTTTCCTGCTTCTTGGCCCTTCTTCCAGCATCCTGAGGTACTGGGTGGGGGTGCGGGGGGGGGGGGGGGGAAGAAATGGAAGAAAGTGATTGAGTTGCCAGCATTTCAATGAAAACAACAACAGAATGAGAATTACTAGCTAGAAACAAAGGACACAAAGAAAAGGGAAATTGGGCGAAGGAGGTGCTGAAGAGAGGGAGGTTTATGAAAGACTTTCTGAGGCTTCCGAACTTGCTGCCCAGCTGCTGTAGGTACAAGTTAGCATTGGCCCTGCCACTTGTTCACTCTATGACCTTCAGCAAGGTATTGAACTCCTCTGAGCCTCAGTTTCTTCATCTGTACTGTGGTGCTAGTAACACCTAATCACAGAGTTGTTAAAGGACTAAATAGGTCACCGCAGGTGGCTGGTAAGTAAAAGACACTATGTAAGTTGGTTGGTTGGTTATCAGTTATTACACTGAAGAGAAGAATAGACATAGAGAAGGAAAAGAATGAGGAAAGAGACTGGAAAGAAACGTTGCCATGAATTGAAAACAGTCTTTTCCTGAAAAGTATCAGGAAAAAAAATGTACTGGGTTTTATTGAGCAAGGCTGTTTCTTGAGTGTAACCTTTGGTCAAGATGGAGTCATGTAGTCTCTAAGCTCCATTTAGTCACAGCCTTTTTGATATTTAAATATGATCTGGATTAGATCTCAGTTTCATGAAAGCAGTACTTAGTCTCCAGTGGCAAACACAGAACCAAGAGCTTTCTGTATCACGCCAGAGAGAAGTAGGTGACAAATAATGAGCAAGGGTTAAACAGTTTTCTAATATTCATTGAAACTTGATTTCCCTCTTCTTATTACAGACAAAACGCCATTAATATCAAGTATGTGAATCACAAGCCTGTCATAAGAATGAAATTTTTATTCAGAAAAAGCTGAAGATAATTATTTGAAGTTTATTTGAACATAATTTTAAAAATTATTTTAAAGACTGAAGAAACTAATAACACATAGAATGATCTTACCTATCATTGTTAGAGAAAAGCAAAGAAGAAATCCAGGTAATCTGAATGGACTTTGAAATGTGATTTGATATTTACTTATTAAAATGATGTATCTGATATTTAAGACATTCACATTATCTAATAAACTGAGTATTTCCCAGTTCTTACTGTGATGGTGTCTTTATCATCAGGGATCAGTCAGCATAACTGAAGCTATTTGATGTATTCAGATATAAAGTGTTTAATGCAGAATTATGAACTCTCGGGACTCTTGGAAGACCTGGGGGTGAATGTGGGGAGAGAGGGAGATAGAGGTCCCGAAAGCAGCTGCTGAAAGTCAGAGAGGTAGATATTGAAGATGCTAGCCTAAAGCACCAAGCAGATGCTTTTCATCTTTCTTGGAGCTGCTGCAGTACTTGAGAATCTTTAAAAAACTCCACCAACTTCTCAAGCAAAGCGGGTCATTATAAAAAAAAAAAAAAAAAAATCTGTTGGAAGGCCACTGAATCTTTTATCTATCCAAATATCTAGCTGCAAACACCTTTGAAAAAATAATGACTTTCCATTTCCATCTTATGTCTCCCTGGAAAGTTTTTGTCATCAGCAAACTCTAACCCAGAACCACACAGGAAAGGGGATTCCAGAAAACATAGCTCTACCCTTACACGGAACTGACAGTCATGAGGAGACGATAGTGAGCTAACATAGGACATACCCTGCATCTTACTGCTTTGGACTGTATTCCAGATACTGAAGCCATCATTTTTCCATGATAAAAACACCATATTTACTTTTGCCTGTTTTTCCCCTCCAGTTTTTCTATTGCTCTGACTTGTACATTTCTGGACAAGGTGGAAAAAAGAATGAAATTTTGGTCTTAGAAGACTTACTTGGTCACTGTGCTGATATGTAAAAAGAACATGAAGATGTCTGTTTCATTTTTCCATTCTTTTGGTACCTTGATCTATTTTGGTGTAGAAGCAAGAGAAAAACTATCACAAAATCAGATCCTTCTACAAATACCAAAGGAGAAGTGAAAGCTAAATAAAAGCAAAATTTAATGGCATTAATTATTGGGGAAGTGGGTAATATCAACAGGTATATACATATAATTGAAAGATTTGTCTCAGAGATAAAAATTACTATAGGTTATCTATAGTTATAAATCTTTCCTCTCCTATTTCATATTTGACCTCACACTGTTTGTCTTTTTCAGAAAATATTTTAATGTTTTTAAAAGATTTTTACTTTTTATTTATTTACAAGAAAGAGGGACGGGGGAGAAGCTGACTCCCTGCAGATCCCAGGACCTGGAGATCAAGACTTGAACCTAAGGCAAATGCCTAACCGTCTGAGCCACCCAGGTGCCCTAGAAAATATTTTAACTTGATTGTGTCTATTTTAAATCACAGAAGTTCACAAAACTCATTTTGTTCTTTTAAGTGGAAATACTGAACATTCCTAAGCCATGTTTAAAGTATCAGATAAAGCAAGACATTATTAGAATAAAATTATGCTAACTTTGATAAGAATCTTGTAAATAATAGCATTCAATGTCAGAATTAAAGAGATTTTCGTTTATTTCATATTTACTGAAAGATAGTTTTAAAGATTTAAGAAAATATAATGTTTCACTGTGTTTTATTTTGTTACCAAAAGTACGGATACATAAATGTAAAATAAACCTTTGACTATTAGTGTGTGCTTGAATTTTTACGCTCTTACAGAAATAGAAGTCCTAGAAAGAAAAAAGCAGTCTAGATAAAAATGAATACTTTTTGAAAGTTAATCATTAGAATTGAAATTCCTACAATAATAGTTGTAATAAAAATAGATGTAATTTGAATATTCATCTCTTTGTCACCTTTGCTCAGTATACAACATAGCAGCTTTATCAATAGCCTTATTAATTTTCAATGTATATTTTTATGGTTAAAAAGTTATAATTGCTCAAGGACTTATTCTGAAATGTCTAAACCAACACTTTTAAATCTTTCATAAACATTTTCTAGATCCACACCAAGAATCCCAAGCTACAATTAAAATATTCATCAGTAGACTGCCCATTTATAATAGATTTAATGGGCCCGTACATGCTAATAATGAAGATATGCTATGGTTTACAGATTTTATATAAAAGCACTCCTTATGAAAGCTAATGACTCATGCAAATGAAAGTAATGTTTTAGAAATATAATGTGAGTTTAGAAAAGCAAGTAATTTGATTAAATTTATGGAGAAAAAATTTAATTTTTTCTTATTCTTGTTGATATTTTCACATTTATTAACTTTAAAATTTTTTATCCAGAATCTATTGGATAATACTTTGAAGATAAAGCAAAGGTGCTTTAAAATATGTACCTTTCAATGTTTACTTTATAAATCATTTTCCAAAAAGAATTCAGATCATAGACCTTGTTTAATATGCTTGGTTATTTTGTATTTATTTATGTTAGCATTTAAATGAAAGGTTTGCATCCAATATTATGCATCCAATATTCTGACCCTTTCTTTGGCCCTCTTTAAAATACAAACTTCCTAAACTTTAAAATAATGCTGCTAGCCCTTACTCCAAAATATTAAAGTATCGTAATCTTTTTGATAGAATTAGAAATATATCTTATTTTTCATATTCACAAATTGTAAAACTTATCTAAATTGCAACATACATAATAAAATTTTAAATTTCAGATTAGAACTACTTAGAAATATTTAGAGCCTATAATGGAACATTTTATTTATATATAATATAATATATATATATATAAAATAAGTATCATTATAACCATGTAATTGTTTTTAAAGCATTTACATGCTAGAGGTTTTTTTCTTTTCTTTTTTTTTGTTTTAAAGATTTTATTTATTTATTTGATAGACAGAGATCACAATTAGGCAGAGAGGTGGGGTGGGAGGGTGAAGCAAGGCTCCCCACTGAGCAGAGCGCCCGAAGCGGGGCTCCATCCCAGGGCCCTGGGATCATGACCTGAGCCGAAGGCAGAGGCATTAACCCACTGAGCCACCCAAGTGCCCCACATGCTACAGTTCAAACCACGTGTATTTATATTAGTTAAATGAATGTAATATTTTCTTTCCTTTATGTCACTTAATAATTCATTCCTTATGATAGGCATGCTACTCATTTCTAAAATGAGATGAAGTGACCTAAATATTAAACATATTAAATGGGGAAAAAGCAATAAATACAGAAAACCTGAAAAAAGAAACACAGTATTGTATCTACAATGTTATAAGTAAGAAGTAAATAACAGGCAGTTATAAGATTGTATTTTTTTAAAAAGTGGAATAGCCATGTGTTCATATAAAGCTTAGTAGATGACCTAAGTGGAATGTATTAATTCATTCTTATATAAGAGACTTGGAATAGCACTGTAGCTGATATTTTCTCAGTCGCTGTTTGCAAATGATACTGAAAACATCAACTCACTTCTTGTTTATAGAAAAAGAAAAGCCTGATAGTTTTAAGATTGCATAAGTCTTCAGCACATTTTCCTCATCTGATGAAGTGGATGAAATGGTGTACTTGTGAACAGCAGTAAAACACAGTTGTGCTGAAATTACTAATATTTAATATAAAATAAGAAATACCTTACAAAGCCTTTTCCTAGATACCTTCCATTTTTCATAGAACTCAGCCCTTAACCCTGAAAATGGGTTGCAAAACCTGAGCCTGTTGATGACTTTGTCAGTTTTACCCCCCAGTTTTCAATTTGCCTCCCAAGGACCTCCTCATGTAACTCTTCATGGATGTTGAAAATGATGGACAGCATCGCTGACACTGCATCTATACATCTATTATCTGTTCACAATGGCCTGAACTGCTCCGGAGTTTGCTGTGGACAAGTATGTTGGACAGCTACCTCTCCCTGGTGTTGAAGAGTGGGTAACTGCCCTCAGTTTCCTTCATTTTCCGTCTTGTCTCACTTTGATAAAAACTGCCTCCCTTCTCTAAGGTACGAACCATCAAGTTGAAGTTTTACATTTGACTAAACTCAGTAAAAATGGTGACTTAGTGAAAAAGGATATAGAAAATGTCGCAGAGCTCAAAGGCAAGATGCAAAGTTGGGCTTAATGAGAACGGAAAATAATCAAGAAAATAGATCCACTCTTTTCTCTATTCTCTCTACTCATTGCTATCCTTTATGATCCACCTCAGGATCTCACAAGACTGCCAAGTCTACCTGGAAATCTTTCAGTTCCCATAGTGGCCACCCACTGGCTAGAAAACATGTCATTTAGTTCAAAAGTCAGAGATAGAAAAACCTCAGAAGGTAAGGAAGAGTCAGAGGATTGGGCAGGTTTGAGGCATTGTCCATCCCTGGGGGTTAGCCATGATCACAGCTGCAAGTCATATGGATGGAATTGTCTGTGTTTAGGCTAGGAGGAAGTTCACGTTCTGAGGTAGGCATGTAACACTTCTGAATACTGGAAGATCCCAGTATGCCTTCATTTCCAGAGTTTGACTTTTATGATGTGGAAATTAATTGTAAATAATTAAACGTTTGACTTTTGTGATGCTGAAATTAAATGAGGCACATAACTAGGCCAGAATAACATTAACTAAATAAATTAGGCCCACTAACATTAATTATTTAGACCTCACAAAATTACTGAGATAAGGAGACTCATCCCCATTTTACAGATGAATATCCTAAAAGTCAGAAGAGTTCAGTTGTTTAGTAACCTGCTGCTTACGTATTGCAGTGATTGTATTCGAATGCCTGTCTGAAACCAAAGTCTATTATTTAACTGCATTGTATCACTTATTTAAAAAAAAAAAAACAGGGGCGCCTGGGTGGCTCAGTGGGTTAAAGCCTCTGCCTTCGGCTCAGGTCATGGTCCCAGGGTCCTGGGATCGAGCTCCGCATCGGGCTCTCTGGCTCTCTGCTCAGCGGGGAGCCTGCTTCCTCCTATCTCTCTGCCTGCTTCTCTGCCTACTTGTGATCTCTGTCTGTCAAATAAATAAAAATAAAATTAAAAAAAAAAAAAAAAAAAAACCAGGAATTTTCAGTGCCTTTTAATGGCTCAGGACCACTTGATAACTTCAATAAAGGATTCCTCTTCAGTATCTCTTCCCCCATATCTTTTTGATCCACAGTATGCACTGATATAGAAAGCTATGCATGTTAAAATAAAATGTTTTAATTTATTCACTAATCCAGCAAAAAAAATTTTTTTCCATTTTACTTATTTTTATCAACCTATAATGTATTATTTGCCCCAGGGGTACAGGTCTATGAATTGCCAGATTTACACACTTCACAGCACTCACCATAGCACATACCCTCCCCAATAGCCATAACCCAACCACCCTCTCCATACCCCCCCAACCCCCAACAACCCTCAGTGTGTTTGTGAGATTAAGAGTCACTTATGGTTTGTCTCCCTCCCAATCCCATCTTGTTTCATTTTTCCTTCCCTATCCCCCAAAACCCCTGCCCTGCCTCTCAAATTCCTCATATCAGAGAAATCATATGATAAT